TAGGCTCTTGGGAAAACCTCGGCAGGGAGCTCATTCCATAATTCGTGTTCGTGGTCATATATTAAAAATATACCTACATATACACATAAATATATTAACACAATGATATATCGTGATATACCTAATAATAATAATAATACATAGTTAGAGGTGAATTTATTAATTTGACAAATAATTGAACAATTTTCTATAATATTTTCAATATTATCTATTAATACTTCATTTACAGCTATTTTTTTTATACAACTTAGAATGGCAAACAAGCTGACGGTCCACCTGATGGAAAGTGGTAACCGTCGCCTATAGACATGAGCAGTGCCGTGGACATAACAGAGTATACTGTTTCGCCCATGAAACCCCCCGTATGTTGCCATTCCTAAGGGCTCAGGTGTTATTCCTTGGTACCCTGTAAATTCAAACCGAAACATAGCTATACAAACACAACTGCTTCACGGTTGAAACACGAATGGGACAGAGGAGCGCAAGCAAACGATTTTTGTACACAGTCTCCCTCTAGTATTTTATTTTATAACTCTTTTATATCAATATAATTAGTACCTACATAAAATATACGTCTAAAAACAAAAAAAAAAAAACATTATTATGTTTTTGATGTAATTTATTATGCATTGTATCAATCAGTATCTATTTTAGTACATATTAATACTGGTTTCTATTCTAAAAATATGTTTTTCGTGTAATTCTTCGGCGGTGGCAAAGGTCATTTACATTTAGTACTAATTAATTGAAGAGCATTATAAAAGTTTCCGAAGTTGTATTTCAAGGATAACTTGATGTTAATAGTCACTGCCTGTTTCCCGCGGCTTTGCTTGCGTAGATTTTTTTTAATACAACATAGAATGGCAAACAAAATTGGTATATACCCAATATTGCTAGCAATAGGATTTTCAGTTTCCTCCAACACGCTAAACGATTAGTTGAATGACAAACGTGCATGGTATTAGTCGATCATGCACGGGATTTTAACGACCATGTAATTTAAAATAAATACACATAATGTTAACAGAGATTTAAAAGAGTAACTGTTGAGTTTCTTGCGGGCTCTTCTCGACAGATAACAACTTTCCGAACACGGCAGTAGATTAAAAGAAAATAACGATTTAAAAATGCTTGTGAACAAGTCTATTTGAACAAATTTTTTTTAAATTTGAAACATTTGTACAACATTTCACATTTATAATATTAGTAGGAGCATTTTATTTTTATTATTAAGTATTTTTTATGAGAGTGGAAATGACAAACAAACTGACACTCCACCCGATAGAGAATTGCAATTGTCGCCTATAATACGAAATGCCCATGAGCTTCACGAAATATACTGTAAGCCGCTTTGAAATATTCAAACATTACCATTCTTGAAGGCTATATTATTATACCTCGGTAGAGTCACTGTCAGTGCATGCAGGTGGCTCAGGACCGTTCCTTATGGCAGACTATGGGCGAAGCCTGTTTTAGTTTTATACAACTTAGAATGGCAAACAAGCTGACGGTCCACCTGATGGAAAGTGGTAACTGTTGCCTATAGACATGAGCAGTACCGTGAACATAACAGAGTATACTGTTTCGCCCATGATACGCAACATGCGTTGCCATTCCTGAGGACTCGGGTATTATTCCTGTGTACCCAGTAAATTCACGCCATATCTCACCCTTCAAACCGAAACACAGCCGTGCAAACGCAACTTTTTTTTCGGTTTTTTTTGTTAAACACAATCTTAATTACAATACAAAATTTCCCTAAAATTAATTTTACCATCGAGTTTTCGTGATTGTACAAATCTACTTGTTTATTACTATTGACATACTGAATAGTCTCACGGTAAAGTATTATATATTACACTTTTCTTCCGGGAAGTAAAACTGTTCGGACATTAATAATCCAATGTCGCCGAAACGGATCAAACCGACTCGCGGAAGTAGCTTTAATAGTGTAAACAGTACTGACGTATCCATCAAGCCCTCCGTTCATAGATTCGTGTATCCGACGAGCTTAATAGCTTTCTGTATTCGTTATAGGCACTTACAGGAAGAAAGAAAAACGATTTTTATTTAAGTAAATTAAAAATTAAGTATTCAAGTTTAATTTTTGGGGGGAAAGGGATTGTTAGAAATGAATTTTGACAGTCCCATTGCTAGCAATATGCTCTATTAGGTCGACGTCCACGTGGTTCCCCCTGGAAACCATCGTGAACAATTCTTGTTGGATTCGTCACGATGGGCTAACTGACCTGCTTCATCCTCACCTATCATTCTTCACTGGTGCCCCGCCGGTGTATACCGATAGCGCCGGTGGGGTTTACCATTCCATTATCACCCATAAAAAAATTTAATTATTTAAATTCTAATAAATTTGCCAACTCTTACGTGAACCGTACCGTAACAGTATGGAATAGCCTTTCCTGTGACATGTTTCATTCGTCCTATAATCTCGGATCCTTCACCTTAGATTATATAGATAGGGTGTCTCCATAGAAAATTTTCAAGAAAAATGGATAAACTTTTTCATACAATTTTGCGTGATAAATAATTATGACTAATTTCATTATAACTTCTATATTTATTTTGTCATATAAATTCTGCATGTTTTTAATGCGTAAACACTCATTTTATTTATTAAATAATGAAATATAGATACGTCAAGATACAGTACGTGCGTAAGTATATAGAATACTGATAAAAAAAAACAAGTCAGCTAATTTGACAATTAGCTGACAAAAAGTCGACTCGTTTTTGTGGCTCGATGCTCTATCTATCTATATAATATAAGCTTCCAACATAGCATGGAAAAGCACTTAGTGAGTTATCATAGTGTGGTCACACATAATACTATACGTGCAGTCAACTATTGACAGTAAATTATTTTTTGTTGATCGTATTCATGGACCATATTGTCGCTGTGTTCGCTCAGGATGGAGTGGTCACATGGCGTGCTACAGTAAAAAAAATAGTAAACTTTAAGCATTTTTGAATAGTCATTTTTTATGATTCTACCACCTATTTGGAATCCAATTATAGCTAAAAAGTACGGCCAAGAAACTCAGGTAAATCGATAGAAAATTTCGAACTTCTCGCACTAATTTACTCTTTAATTAGATGTAATACTGTGACATAGAGAGAAATAGATAGACAAAGTTGTACCAATAGGGTTTCAGTGCAGAACCCTAAAAACGCACTATCAAAGGACATGAAAATCTTACATCTTTATCCAGTTTTTGCATGTTACGTATGTCATACCTACGAAATACTATTTTATCATATCGCATTTGATACCTTTAATTTTATAAACGAATAAAAAAGAAAGAAATCTGGGGTTTTTTCAATGGATGATAATGGAAAGGTAACTTTGCCTGCGCTATTGGTATACGTTGGCAAGGTACCAATGGAGATGATAGGTAAAGATGAAACATAATTTTGCCTATAGTGACAAATTAAGAAAAAAATTAACCTAGATAGTTTCAAGAAGGAACTCAGCAGAGATTGGCTTAATAAAGTTGCTAGCAATGTGGCTATTTTTGTTTTTTAATGGATGATAATAATAATAATATTTCTTTATTTATAGATTACAAAGATCCATTCTTGTTAGAAACAATTGACTTAAACTATGTTAGTAGAAAAAAAAATATATACAAAATTCATTTTATGGCCCCTATAATAATTTTGACCCACAATGAGAGGATCGGACTATCGTATTTATTACATAATGCCCTCAGAATGCTGTTACTGCTGCCACGCAATCGGTATAAAAGAGATGCGATCCGTTTGCGTCTGATGGCCTAGAAGTCGTCTGTCCATGCCGCTGCAAACATTGTGGATGCACTACAAAAACGTAGCAGCCGTAACAACACCCTGAAAACATTATTGTATTGAACACGCAGAGCGCTGTATGCCCGCCGTGTATAGTCAACCCACAGGCTGCTCGTGTAAAAAGATTGGCAATATGCCTTGAACAATATTATTTTGACTTCAGTCGAGCAACGTGTGAAGCGGTTACCTGCGCTAACAGTATATGCTGGCGGGACATCAGTGACGGATGATTGGTGAGGATGAAAAGACAGGTGAGTAAGCCAATCGTGAAGAATACATCTGGAATTTAGCATGAGAGTTTTCAGGAAGAAAAGCTACCTGACAAGGTAGCAATGGAACTGGTAGTTCGTATTATTAATAATCTCTTTTCCCGCGCAATGGGTCTGTTAGGTCCTCCATAATTCTCTATTTGCTTAATGGTTGACTGATAGAGAGATACCAGAGGGTGACTTTGTACAAAAGTCGTTTGCTTCGCTTCCTCTGTCCCATTCGTGTTTCTACCGTGAAGCAGTTGTGTTTGCATGGCTGTGTTTCGGTTTGAAGGGTGGAATATGGCGTGAATTTACAGGGTATACAGGAATAACACCTGAGTCCTCAGGAATGGCAACTCATGGGGGAAACAGTCTTCTTTCTAAAATCACTATTCTTTCTAAAATTACGAATAACCACGCTGGTCGTATCGTCTGGGTGGTATTTTCATACTCCAGTATTAATCCTTATTTAAATAAATCTATCGAGTTATTTCCAAAAATTGCATATTGCGATAACCAAGATCCACGCGGGCGAAGCCGCGGGCGAAAGCTAGTATTAAATAAAGATTTACAACAGCCGAGGTTAACTCTGTAAAAGTTCTCCTCCAGCAAACCCTGAGTGGAAAGAAGAATTAATTTATCAAATAAAAAATTTATTAAATTAATCAAACATCAATGCACAAAAATAGATTGTTTTGTTAATTTAATAACAAATCTTCCATCGCATATTATTATACCGGCCGCGTTATACACATACAAGGTTAAAATAAATAATTAATTTACATATAAGCAAATTAATAACGTGGGAAATAATGTTCTTTATTCGACCAAATCAGGCGGAGGCTCGTTGTAAATGCAAGTACCTATATACATTTGACGTCACAACTTCGCGACATATAAACTGGCGGAAAGCACCGGCCCGCGCATTTAAAACTATAAAATTAATACTAATAGGACACAGTATTAATACGTACAGTATAACAGTATAGAGTACGTACATTGGTTTTTTTTTTTTTTTTTATTTCGAATCACATAAGTGTCTTAAAATGTTTAGTTACATTATATGTTTTTTCTCTGTGATAATAAGTGCGAATTGTGCATTAGGTAAGTTCTTATTTAAGTTTGATTTATGAATAACAAAGTGGGAATATAAATTATTAAGCTATTTTTTTATTTGGTATTAAACCTTTTGAGGGTGTTCTAAATAGCAGCGGAATGGAACATGTTCCCCATAGAAGTGGATAGAAAAAGGAGATACAATTTTGAATTTCGCCACATTAACTTAATAGTTGGATACATCATAACTTCATTCTGTACTTATACTAAAGATTAATTAATTATAAAAAAGGAATCCAAGCATTCTACCGCCATCTACCGAATAAATTTTTTTCTTAGAAACTTTACTTATTGTTTATAAAATTTTATTACAATCACTAGAACGGTTTCGAAAACTTTTTGACACGTAATTTTTATATGTTAAAATTTATTTAAGATATTAATATCTGCGTGATTGTGTTTTATATATTCTTTATTGTACTTATAAATTACATAGAAAGTATTGTTTCAACCGTGAAGCAGTTGTGTTTGTATGGCTGTTTCGATTTGAAGTGTGGGATATGGCGTGAATTTATTGGGTACAGAGGAATAACACCCGAGTCCTCAGGAATGGCAACGCATGGGAGGTATCATGGGCGAAACAGTATACTCTGTTATGTCCATGGTATACTGCTCATGACTATAGGCGACGGTTACCACTATCCTTCTTGGCTTGGCATCTAGGCTTGTTTGCGATTCTAAGTTGTATAAAAAAATTAAAATAAAAAACGAAATTGTAATGTTAAAGAAAAAAAAAAAAACTTTTAAAAATGTTCTGAGAATCTAATATATAGTATGATGTCATCTTTCTAAACCTATATCTTATTCTAATTTTTTTGAATTTGATAGTTTGAAAAGTTACTATTTTATGGACCGTCACAAACGAATATTATAATAAATATAACTTAAAGGTAAATGAAAGAAAGAATGGTTCTTTAGTGGCGACCGCGTAGGAGTAAACGTAGTGAAGGACGACCCCCCACTAGATGGAGTGACGAATTGGAATGCATTGCAGGGAGTCAGTGGATGCAGGTGGCTCAGGATGGGGGATGGAGGAGGTCTATGGGGGAGGCTTATGTCCAACAGTGGACAGATAATGGCTGAAATAATGATGATGGAAGGTAAATGTATTAGGAATATAGTTCATATTGGTTTTTTTTTAGAGATGATAATGGAATGGTTAACCCGCCTGCGCTATCGGTATATATACGCTGACAGGGCACCAGTGAGAGATGATAGGTGAGGATGAAGCAGGTTAGTTAGAACATCATGACAAATTCAACAATAAATTAATCACGATAGTTTCCAGGGGGAACCGCGAGGAGGTCGGTCCAATAGGGTTTATTGCTAGCAATGGGGATGCTAATCCCCGTTACTAACAGTCCCTTCTCCCCCCAGTTCATATTGGTTCTTACAATAAAGATTACGCTACTAGTATGGTATATTATTTGTGACAGTGATATCAAATTAAAATTTTGTTTTTAAAGATAGGTTTTAGACCAATGTTGGCTCAGGATCGACGCCACTGTCAATTAATTATAGATTTTATGATCACAGATACAACTCTAAATATATATATATATATATATATATATATATATATATATATATATATATATATATAAAATTCTCGTGTCGCGGTGTTTGTTACCAAACTCCTCCGAAACGGCTTTACCGATATTTATGAAATTTTGTGTGTATATTCGGTAGGTCTGAGAATCGGCCAACATCTATTTTTCATACCCCTCCATTATAAGGGTGACGTACCCCAATTTTTTTTGACAATTTTTTTTATTTTAATTTTATTATAATGTAGCATTGAAATATACATACAACTTTAGAAACTAAAATTTTTATGATATTTAAGATTGTATTACACAATAAAAACCGACTTAAATTGTGACAAAACTATTTTGATTTCAAACTAATTCTAAACTAATGAATCGATTTTGATAAAATTTCCGTAAGACCAATCTGAAATCAAATCGGTTTAGAAGTGACTTACTTGTGTGGTAACAAACATAAAAAAAAAATATATATAACCGAAGTGTGAACCTATACATTTTTTAAGTCGGTTAAAAAGTACTAAGTACAGAAAGTTTAAATTCGGAACATACGTTTATTTTATAACGCAAGCATCTGCTAAGAAAGGATTTTTTTATAAGTATGAGTAAGTACGTATTAAAAACAAACCGTCATTCAGTTTCCACTTCAAGCAAAAAGTATTCTTCTCTCTTCTGTAACTTTTAGACCATCAGCACTGTGGAGTACAGGCCACATATATTATTTATAGCTATATATTATTATTTACCAAATTCGAAATTGACGCGCCTATCTATTGTTTCCTTTTGGCTTGCCTTCACGGCCCTAGTCTTCTAAGTTCCTTTGACTAATATACATATATTTCCAATTTCCATTCCTGGTTTCCTTTGTCGCCTACAAGCTCCACGTAATCTGTCTGATCTGTGACAATTTAAAACAAGAATGAATATTTTTAAATTGATTGCACGGAGAAAACAAATGTAAATAAACATTCAAAGATAATGCATTTAACGGTGGAACTGGTCAATAAAATAACAATTTTATTGTAAAAGAGTATGTTGTCCCTCTTATTTTAGTTGTTGAACTGTTTTGTCTCTTTCTTTTGTACTGAATGTTTGAATGGCAAAAAACAGTGTAATACTTAAAATAGGTACGTAAGAGGTTTTAGTTTTTATCAATCAGGGGTATATTTTTTTCTAATAATATCAAATATGAATCATCATTTCTAAAATAACAAAATTTTTCCATGGGTTTTATATAAATTTTCCATATGCAATATAAAAGAGGACTTAACCAATTTCGCCAAGGATTAAAGATTAAAGATTTATGTTCATAAATATAATATAATATTTTTATGTGTCTACGTATAGTTTTTGGGTTAAAATCTTTATTGAATTATCTTTTAAGGTCACTATGTAGTTGTATATATATATATATATATATATATATATATATATATATATATATATATATATATATATATATATATATATATATATATATATATATATATATATATATATAGACACATTTCTATTTCTTCCAATTTATTCAACCGAATCTGAACTTTGACTTTTCGAGATAAAAGATAAGAAGACCGGTTTAGAACTTATAATAACCGATCTTCCTTATATCGCCTGATCGCCCTTGAACCGTCCGATGAAACTGGATCCTTTCTCCGTTACCAATAAGTACCTAAATACCTTCGTAACGGAAATACAAGACCGTTTTACCAGAAATATTCGGGGTATTCGCCGTGCGTGGCAAACGATTCGCACTTGCCAATTCGCCATTTTTTTTTCCTTTGTGTTGCGCACTGCTTCCGTTTTATAAACTCATGGAAAAGAATTCCGACCTTGGACTTGTTAGACTCGATTAGGTAACTCTTGACACTTTTTGTGTTGTCTCAAATATCGTGTGCTTAATTTGTTTGCATTAACATTTAATGGCAATGATTATGATTTGTGGTCGTATTAACATTTTCTTATTGTATTTTTTGCACATTATTTTGTGTAATTTTGTAGCTGTTTCCTTGGCTTTGCTCACGCGAAATCCGTATTCCTTGAGATCGGGGCTTACCTGTTTATAAACGTATGCAAAATTTGAAAGATTTTGCAGTTGTAACATCGGCAGTTCTGGTTTGGTCCTAGTGTGTTATACCTCGCGATTATCCAATTTAGCATTTTCTTTTTAAACTACTTAAAACATGAGATGTTTCTTAATTCGATCTTATTTTTCTTTATATTCTTCAATTATAAATCGATGATAATCCTTATTATAATTTTTATAAATAGAGATTATACGTGTTAGAATCCTATTAATTTTAATACGACGTTTTATGAAAGCAACATCTTAAATTATAATATATTGAAAAAGTGACTTGCTCGGTGTTTCCCGCACCGTTGGCACGACTAGTTTTAGCATTAACACCTCGAAGTAGGTAATTGAATATTGTGTTTACAATATATATTAGATGTTGTATCATGAACATTAAATATTTTTTTACGGATTTTTTAAACTATTGAGAACGTCAGGACAGATGACAAATGGTAACTATTGTCTATTTATGTTCAAAGGCAACGCGGTGTCTATGGTACTTCATACGCCTTGCAATTCTTGAGAAAAACAATGTTGTACTTCTACACTCCGCACTCAGTACCACAGTAGCAATATCTTCTAAACCGTAAACAGAAGAGTAAATATTCCTTGTGCATATGCTGGAAAACACTTAAACATTATTGAAACATGAGTGAGAAAGATGCACTAATGCAGGCTACTTTTTCGTTACAAATTTATGTCGGTTTATTACCGGGGAGGCGAGTGGGTTAACAATATATTTATATACCAGTATATCACACTCATGCTCGTGTCACAGTCGCTCATGACTAAAGATCACGAATTGATACCGAAACTAGTCGAGCTTTATCGATCTAATTACACGTAAGTTAAACCGGTAGTTATTAATTTAAAGTATACCTATAGATAGGCGAATATGGCTAGATTACATCACTCTGCTGATCCTTGTATAGCAACCATTAACAAAATATTTTTTCCTTCCCCAGCACCGTTCATTACACCATGCCATACACAAAATGACACTTGCACCCTGGCGGCTGCTCAAGCGGCGCTGCCATACGTCGCTGCTGGACTACCAGAACTGGGTGTGAAACCGTTGGATCCTCTACACATTCCAGTAATAAAGAGCGACCAAGGTGGACTGACACTCACGTTCACAGACACCGTGATTACGGGACTCAAAAACTGCAAGATTGACGGCATACGGTGAGTAAATTGAAGTTTGACCAATTTTTTAACGAATTTTGGAATGGCAAACAAGCTGACTGCCTATTTGATGGTATTGTAATGTTATATCGTAGACTGAGTAAAACATACTACGTAGTGTATTACAATTATCGAAAAAACGTTCTCATCTAGTGGTCTATTCGGTTCTGGAGTAAGGACACATGAGTTTACAATCCCGGTCTCCCGAGCCACTGCAGTTTATCACCACTATCCCCTCCGCAACTGTACTATTCTTTCTTTCCCTTTTCTCCATAAGAATTTCGTTTCTTTTTTATCGTATCGTCCTTTTTACAGTATGGGCTTTTTTAAAAAGTGTGTATTAAGATTTCTTCAGCGTCAGCAATACTTACTTGACACTTCTAGTTATGTTGGCATTTATAGTCTACGGTGACCGCTTACCAACAGACAGTATGAATGTTTGCCATGATGGATGTTTTCGTGATATAAAAAAAAAATAAGAAAAATATATATCTTTGACCCCAAATTTTAGGATCAAAGGTAACATCATACTACCTGCATAGTAATAAAATGCTGACCACAGGTAAAGTCTAATGAATATAGAAAAAAACTATGAGAGGAATTTTTATAATACTCGCTTGGCTCCTTTAAGCTTGGGAATGTGAAATAAAACGTTTGCACGTTTTAAATAATAAAGTTTTATGATATCTAGTTTACTCTGCGATCTTGATGGACAAGGTCTAACACAGGTAAATTAAATTGTATACAGATATACAACAGGTGCAACTAACTACGGTAAACGGGGACATCATGCCGCAACCATGCTGTGTTTACAAACAAATTTGAATTAATTACGCATTTAATAAAATAATTAATGCACTTCTTGTTCAATGAAGGAATAAATTATTATTGTATAATCAGCTTGAAAAACCGATGGAGGAAAAAAGGTTCTTGAATGGCGACTTTGTAATGGGGGTCGTCGTACTGTGTTTGCCTTTTTTTTAACAAGGGTAAAAATCTTTCATCACTATGTAATCCCAAGCTATGTACATTCTTCAACTACTTTTCGATACACTTTCTTTATACCACAAAATTGGCAAACAATCATACAGCCTGTCTGATAATAAACGGTTACCGTAGCTTAAAGACGCGTGCGACATTAACACCATAAAATTGTAGGACGAGCAAGACCTACCCAGCTTTCCCTTAGCCTTTGATCACGACTGCTTCGAAATGATTCATAGCATGAATTCTCTTTCAGACACGACATCACTAAACCCAAACAATCGGTGGTGATCCGTTGCTCCATAAACCAGGCCGGGAACTACAAACTGAATGGGCGTCTGATAGTCTTACCGGTGGAAGGAGAGGGGAAATATAATATTGACATACGTGAGTAGTTTTTTTTTTTTTTTTTTATTAATTTAAATCCTTTTCTTTCTTTCAATGGTCCAGGAAGGACAGCAGCGTCCCTCTTAAAACATCACCAAAGCCTAATTGTGATTGTGAACCTGCCAAGCATGGTAACTACTGACAAAACCTCTCAAGTTCCTCTTGATATCTCTATCTCTTGATATATTCCTCCTGATATTGTTCTACGTTCGGCAGTGGACTGTTCACAGCTGAAAGGATGATAAAATTGTTCGCAAATACAGTCCAGTATGCTCTAGCGGGTACAGAACAGGCAAAGAACGAGCTTGTTGGTAACAAACCAATTATCTGACGGTAATGACCTTGGGCGGTCACGTGTAGTATTTAATAATTATATTATAAACTTGATGTACATAATAAATTCATACGCTGTTAAATTCATTTCCGTACCTCAAGGTTCAGAATCTTGTGGAGTTATTGACTGAATGCACCGACGTATATATACACTTTATTACTAGTTTTTACTATTTCTACTTTTCTTGGTGCCGTGTGGTCCCGGCATAGAATAGGCCACCCCTTTCTTTCTTCTTTAAGGGAAGACGAGGAAGGAACAACAGCGTTGCTCTTATAACATTTCGAAAGCCTAACTACGGTTGCTAATCCGCCTGTCAAGCGTGGCAACACCTGGCGAAATCCACCACAGTGGAGGCTTATACTCAGCAGTGAACGACTAAGGGCTGAAATGAAGGATTTTAGGAGGATTCTGTGTCTTCATTCTATGTATGTAGAATAAGAATTCGAAGTCGGCATGCCGGGAATACATGCCATGATTCCCGGCATGCTGAGACTCATCATGGCCAAAAGACATGATGAGCCTTTTGGCCATGATTTTTATATTATTTTGGAAAATTACAGGCGACATCGTTATCAAAGTGACCAGTGAGATGTCCATGGTACCAGGGGAGGATGGAAAACTCCACTGGCATGTGAACAAGTGGAAACACGCGTACCAGGTGAAGACTGGCGCTCACTTCCAGTTCGATAACTTGTTCAATGGAAATAAAGTTCTCGGTAAGTAGAGCTGGTCGCTGATACTTGGTATTTTTTAAAAGATTCACAAGGTTATTATACCAGCATTCAGTCCGACTGATGCATCATGATAACGATAATGACTGACGACCGCCACAGCAGTCTATAAACTGTTGTAAAATCAGCAGTAAAATGCGTGCAATGCTGAATTTTGTAACGCAAAGCCATATTTCTATGGCTTTGCATAATTTCACTGCTGTAGTGCATCCTTCCAAACACTCTTAAGCAAGAGGGCAAGCTGCTTATCCTAGAAGAGAACTAAGTACCTACATAAAACTGTTAACCGCCCAAAACAAATGTGAATAGTATAGTATAAGTGAATAATGCATTTATAATGTTTTTCCTGGAATTTGAATCTACCATAGCTTCTATATTGATCAATGATATTTTTTATATAAAATGTGGTCATATTTTTTCTTTGATTGTTTGAAATACACAACAATAATAATATCTAATAATAATATTTCATTAGTGCAATATTATTTTAACCGACTTCTAAAAAGGAGGACATCCTAACTGTACTGTATTATTAAACAATTCATGTAAATCCAATACTTGGCCATGATCTAAAGCCCGTTTGTTTTGATATCTTCTTTATCTAAGATCGAGTATCTTAGATAAAGAAGATGTTCAAACACACTTATGCATTACTCATAAGATTTTAATTTAATACTTTTCGCTTACTCCAGCGGAACCAGTGGAAATGTTCATGAACACGAACTGGAGCGACGTGATGCAAGAGGTGGCGCCGCCGGTAGTCTATTCCATCGTGGCGGCCGTCATGGATACACTGGAAGCTCTCTACAAAATAGTGCCCGCCGATGAACTCGCTCTCAGCTAAACAAAATGTTATCTATTCTGTTATTCTATTGTATATTGTTGTTTGTAAGGGTATGTAATTGTAATAAGTAAGAGTAAAGGACTTTTAAGTAAGATTACTTCGTCCTTTTATTGGCATCCCTGATACCATTACAAAACCTGTTAAAATGTACAACTATAAGAAGTCCTTAGTACATTTTCGGTATTTTATCATTGAGGGGTGAGTTTTGTCAGACAGAAAAACCTGTAACACTGCAAGCTCTCACTCTTTCTTCAAGTTTGCTGCTCACAGGGATAAAATTATAAAATTCCTCTCAGTGACTCCTGTCGGTGATGATGTACTCGTATTTAGCAGTGTTCCTAATATTTTTTATTTCCTCGGGAAATGAGGTGTATTTTTCAAAGGAGATATATAGTTTACGTATGGGTGGCCTAGAATTACAAGTTATGTATTATGGCATTTCATCCTCATCTTGAAAATGGTGTAGTTTTTGGGCAAAGCTTACGTGGGAGCATGCGCTTATTTAGTTTGCGGTGTTCAGTGACAGTCCTTGTATTGACAAGGACGTAAAAACAACACGAGTGTTTTTACTTAAGAGGATTAATTTGTAATATAATTTCGGCTTGTAATATTAAAGGCATATTTGCCTAAGTTTACCAGAGGGAGACTTTGTACAAAAGTCGATTGCTTGGGTACCTCTGTCCCATTCGTGTTTCAACCGTGAAGCAGTTTTGTTTGCATGGCTGTGTTTCAGTTTGAAGGGTGGGATATGGCGTGAATTTACTGGGTACAGAGGAATAACACCTGAGTCCTCAGGAATGGCAACGCATGGGGGGTATCATGGGCGAAACAGTATACTCTGTTATGTCCATGGTACTGCTCATGTCTATAGGCGACGGTTACCACTTTCCATCAGGTGGGCCGTCAGCTTGTTTGCCATTCTATGTTGTATAAAAAAAAGTTTAAGGGTATTTCTACAGTGGGACTGCTCTTCATCAGTGCTTTAATATATGCTCGCCATATGGTCCCGGAATAGAAGGGTCACCTCTTCCTTTTCCATTGGTGTCGTAAGAGGCGACTAAGGAAACTTAATGGTCAACAGAGTAGCATCCCTTTTAAAATATCATCAAAACCTAACTACGGTTGCCAACCCGCCTGCCAAACGTGGCAACTACTGGCAATCCCGCAATCGAAGGATGTCTATGTTCAGCAGTGAACAGTTAACGGCGGATATGATGATGATGATGATGAAGAAGATTGCCATGAGTTTTTTTTATGGGAACTGTTTTTGCCTTTTCCTATATGAACAGGGTAAGTTTACTATCCGGCTCGAAGGAGCACTAATTGCATTTGTAAATATGCTGGTTCTTGTTGTATTATTTATATTATATTAATTGTAAATAAAATTGCCATCTATTGACTTGATGTATTATATGTATATTTTGTTCTATTTTAATTGTTTATAAATATTCTTTTTTCTAAAAAACTATAATTGTCAGTATATGTAAAAAAGATTCATTTTGAACAAATGCGTTTAAAGTCGCTTCCGCCGTAACACTATGCTACGGTAACACTGTTTAGCAACAGACGAGCCGTATACCTATTTGCCACATAGTAAGTAGTATAAAAAAACTTTTCTCATGACTCTCGTACCATAAGAGAATTTTAAGTAGGCACATATAGGTATGACAGAAATAAGAATTATTTGAAAAACTCTCTTTTACTTACGATTTTATTCCATTATGGTAATCCTATAAAAGTCAATTTGTCGAATTTCTGTCTATGTGATGTAGATACGTCGTAACAATTAATATGTTAAGGATTATTTACGGTATTTTCAATTACTTAAAAATTTGTTACAATGAGAGCACAATTAGAGTTACAATGTTTGTAATGTTGTTGACATGATGTTGGAGTAAAGGAATTGTTAGTAATGGAATGTTAATCCCCATTATTAACAATACGAGTATATCCTGTCAGATCAATCTCCACGTGTCACACGTCTCTCGGACAACTATCGTATTTAATTTGTAGTAAATATCTATTAATGTTTTTTTTTAATTCTGTATATCTATTAAATTCTGAAAAGAAAAACTTAAAAAAAACATACTATTTCTCTAAAAATATCCATCTCGACCAATTATAATTTTAGCGACTAGCCACTAACTAAAATGATATAAAGATGAGCAGAAAGAAAACCAAGCTTTAATGTAAAAAAAGAGAAAGGAAGTAGAAGTAAAAGGTACATGATTTAGAGGAATTCAAAATTGTCTTTGAGAAATTATCTTTCATTGAGAACACAATTACGAAGATTTAATATCTAGCCTAAAAGGAAAGTACACGTCAGACTAGGCTGTATGGAATTCGTTCTCTTAGAACAGAAAAAAAAATACAGAAATTGTCACACCACATAGTTGACACCAGACTGACACTGAATGACAGTCAGTAAGCATGTGTAGTGTCAGTAGTTTTTAAATTTTTAGGTTATTTATATTAGCTATTCTTGTTATTTATTTACAATTCGAATTCGATTTATAGTGCTTTTAATTATCTTTGATTACTTACAAATTACAGAAATTAAAACTGATATAGAAACGGTTAATAGTTCTTGATTATATATATATATTAATTTACAATTTTAATTTAAGACAACATTATCTAAATATCAAAATGTTGTGTCCAGAAGTCTGGAATTTCCCACCGCCAAAAGTTATGACTTATCAGAAACGCTCTGAATCAATTGACTCGATAATAAAAACTGTGAAAATGAATCATTTTTACAAAAGTTTGGTTGTTACGTTACCTGATAACTTGCAAGTGCCTGCTTACATTGAAGAATCACTTACAGAAGATACGGATTACTATAAAATATCCAACTGTCCATTAACGGAGTTTTTAGAACCTGTGTTTATAGATAGTTTTGTTAAGAATGGCAAATTACACTGTTTATCTACTGATAGGAACTGCATTACGCAGAATTGCTTCGCCATAACTCCTGATGGTGTACTAACTTTACACATAATCGAATTTATATATCAAACGCTGGGTTTAGAAGGTACAAAACGACCACATAACTTTTATGAAATAAGAATCGATTTGAAAAACATGAAAAATTTTATTAGAATTAAGAGCGCTTTAAATAAATTGGAAACATTCAATTTTATTTTATCGTGGGAGCCAAATTCTGAAGATATATGCCCATCGTCAATTGCAAAGTATTTTAATGATAGGAATATACAGGTCTCAGTTTCATCAGTACAAGTGGAAACATTGACACCTCCTGTAACAGAAATACCTTCATTGAAGGACGTAGAACTTGAGGATATGGTTGAATGGATTGGAATGTTGGCTCACAATGTTGACCTGACAGATGTTCCAAGTTACATTAGCACATATGACCAACCTGATAGTGAATATGCCTTAAAGTCTACTAGAATATCAGTGTCCATTGTAAAAGGAATGTTGACACCAAATATTATTGAAAACACATGTAAACACATAGAGAAATATGTATTCTCAAGAGATTTAGATAACTATTGGTCATCACTAAGTATTCAGAGCTATGAGGATAGCCTCTGGCAGTGGAACACCAGCAGCCCTGCCATGTTTCAAGCACATGATTCGTCTTGTAATATATTTATTACGAATAGCGGTGAAAATTTAATATATTCTATTGGACAATTAAAATATTCTTAATCTACTGTGTGTTTATATTTGTTTTTTAATCCGTAAATATAAAATTAAAACTTAGTAATTATTAAATTTCTAAACACTGCAGTAATGATGATAGTTTTAAATTATGTAATGTTTCAGTTGTGCATACTTCTATAATTTGTCTATAATTTCATATTTAAAAGGGTTTATATATAGGTAATTTTTATTAAAGAATTATTAATGTTAAATTAATAATTTATCAAGTTTGTTACATTTTGTAAAAAGTGACAATCATACACTAACATTTGTAAGTAATGAAAGCTTCCTGGACTTCTATCAGTCAATCAATTGTCGATTGTCCTATGCTTGCTATGTCTCATTATTATTTCAGTCAATAATTGTCCATTGCTGAACATAAATCTTCCCCATAAAGGGAGTTTTGCCAGTAGTTGCCACGCTTGGCAGTCGGGATGGCAACTGCAGTTAGGCTTTTTTTAAGCATATGATATGCTGTAAAACATTCACCTTGTAATGCAAATTGAACTCTTCCACGCTTAGCCTCTCATTTGGGTCATTGTACATATAATTCGTGGCTAGTACAGCCAACCCAGCTCTGCCCATTCAACTTTACGCAGTGGAAAAACATAAATGTATGGGGCTCATCCATTAAGTGTTAAAACTTGTATGTTTTATCATGTTACACCATCTAAAAATGTTCTATTTAGTTTTCCTACGTCTGAAAACCATGGGTACGAAGTAGCGGGCAAATAGCAAGTGTTACAATAAAAAAAATAATGTTTATAAAGTTTTTATTGAAACAAAACAAGCCACAGTACATATTAACCTGCACCATAGATAAAAAAATTAAACGAAAACTTTACTTCAAGGAGAAATGCAACATATTACGTAAATACAATCTAGAGACCATATAGTGTTTAGAACCTTACAACTAGCTACATTGCCATATACACATTTATTTTTGCAGTTTGATTTATAAGTCACTGGTTACATACATTTTAGAACATGTTTTTTTTTACATTACTTGAGACCTAAGTAAATATTTCAAGTATTTGTCACATTGTAGCATATAGTTATGCAAGAGAAACTTGAAGTATTTGCTTAGAAAGGATTTATTATGGCCAGATATGTTTAGATTTTGGCAATGCCGATGACACCGCAAGCGATACGCGCCCCGGCGTTGCCTGTAGACTTGCTCAGTTCGTGGCCACCGAGACCTAGATCATCAGGGTCGGCGTGGACGACGAGGGTGCGGCCCAGGATACTGTTGGGGCCCACCAGGGAAATCTGAGAATCTTGGATACTGACCTGTGAATTGTGTAACAATTATTTCAATAATATACCTTTATCAGATTCTACATTATCATTATAACAACTTGTTAATCCACTGTTTAGATCAGAGGGTCTACCATGAAATGAAATTTCGAATTTTCGGACTCAATTTCACGTTTTTGTTCATATCGAAATCTGCCCAATAAATGGAACTTAATATTTTGTTCGTTATAAATTCTAGAATAAAAATCCAAAGGAAGAATATTTTAACATTTTTAAACAGTATGTTTTATGTAATTTTAATATCAAATTTGTGTTTCTTTCGGCCCCGAAATTTCGGAAAACATTTTATGGTAGGCCCTCTGGTCTCTAGTACATACAAATGGCTTGCACAAACAAGGAATATGACCCGACGGGAAGTACTGCTAATTATGGAGTTACCACACATCATCGCTAACAATCTTCTTCCCCGGTAGAGCTACCATTATCACACTAGCTATCTGGATAGCTTGTCACTTGCTTAATTTATAGTTAAAACAGTAATGACATCATTATACTTTCATTTTTGAAAAATAAAATGACTTTTGAAAATTAACTTACTCCTGAGAAGTTACTAGTGTTTGTGGTGAAATATGGTAGTGAATTTACAAGGTACAGAGGAATAACACCTGAGTTCTCAGGAATGACAACGCCCATGGGTATCATGGGCGAAACAGTATACTCTGTTATGTCCACGGTACTGCTCGTGTCTATAGGCGACGGTTACCAGTTTCCATCAGGTGAGCCGTCAGCTTGTTTGCCATTCTAAGTTACATAAAAAATGTAAGTTACCCATTGGATTGGCATTAGCTTGTTTACCTTTTCTGGTTGCATTGAAAAGAGATGATGAGAGCGAGATATGGCTAGGATCATTGGATTATGCGATTTAAACTTTATGTCACAAGGTTTACAACCGCACGAGTGATACCTCTGGTGCAAGCATTCACGAACGTTTGAGATACATTACAATACCGCAGACCGTGGTGTTTGTTTAAAAAATATAACAATAAACGGCTAGTTACCTTGGTGACGCCCCCATCGCTGGTGGCCTCGATGTTGCCGAGGTCGCCGACGTGCCGCACGCTGGCGTCGGGCCCGCCGTGCTCCTGTTTGCCGGGGTTGAAGTGCGCGCCAGCCGACGTGCACCCGTTCGTGTTGTCGCCGAACTCGTGGACGTGGAAGCCGTGCTTGCCCTGCAAATAATATACGATACGATACATAAAAAAAATTATAACTGGAAAATGTCCGCACACGGTCTTAATAGGAGTAATCATTGTCATTAGGGGGAAGGGATTGTTAGTAATACGAACTACGATGGGGTAACTGACCTGCTCTTTCATTCTCACCTATCATCCTCAATCGGTGTATACCGATAGCGCGGGTGGGGTTACCATTCCATTATCATCCATAAAAAAAAAAATCATTATCATCTATATCTATCCCCATACAAATCATTGTAGTTAATCATGGGGACTACCAGCGTCATTGCTAGCAATATACCCTATTAAGTCTATGCATATATGACATTCCTATATCGTTTGATTGTTCATAACAAATATGTATGGCAACACTAGAAAATAAAAAGATTACAGATGGACGCTCCTAAGATACTTTGTGTTTTAATTAAATTAACCCTCCGCCAATCGTATAGGACAATATCGTCCGCGCCAAGTTTGGACTTGATGCATATCTTTTGTAGGAAAAAAAGGACGGAGACTCAAACAACTCTGAAAAAAAAAATTTACACACGCGCATGTCTAACAGGCAAGGTTTTGAAAGGCGCTTATATGAAGATAGGTCTTCAAAACATTTCTTCTTGTAACTAATTTATATCCAAGATATCCGGTTTTTAGTGAAATCTTAGAAATTACGATTTTTGTAGAGATTATAACATTTTATTTCACCAGCGGGTAAAGTATTCAAGTCTGTACAAAAACTATGGAAACATAAAAAAGAAATCTAGAACATAATCCCCGAATTTTTCTGGAAATTTTCCCTACTTAAAAGTACTCCCAGAGGGAGACTTTGTACAAAAGTCGATTGCTTGGGCACCTCTGTCCCATTCGTGTTTCTACCGTGAAGCAGTTGGGTTTGCATGGCTGTGTTTCGGTTTGAAGGGTGGGATATGGCGTGAATTTACTGGGTACAGAGGATTAACACCTGAGTCCTCAGGAATGGCAACGCATGGGGGTATCATGGGCGAAACAGTATACTCTGTTATGTCCATGGTACTGCTCATGTCTATAGGCGACTGTTACCACTTTCCATCAGGTGGGTCGTCAGCTTGTTTGCTATTCTAAGTTGTAAAAAAAAAAGGTCAAATTATCGTCTGAAACAATATCGTTTGTGACGGTTGACGGCGTGCAAAAAAAAACACGGTTGGCGGAGGGTCAATAAGCATAAAAACCCTCCCTGTCATACAGAACAAAGTCGACCTCCAAGCGGTGCCTGGAACCATCGTGCTTAATTTCAGATCAATTCATCCCGATGGGCTAACTGTCCTGCTTTTTCATCTTCACCTATCTTCCCTTATTGGTAGTCCGCCAGCGTATACTACTAGCGCAGACGGGATTATCATGCCATAATCACCTATTGACCTGCTTTCATCCTCACTTATCACACAGTGGTACCCCACCAGCGTATACCGATAACGCAGGCGGGGTTATCGAAGCATTATCATTAAATAAAATAAAAAAAAAAGCATTAGAAGCTGAAACATTTAGAATTCTTATTTATCTGTTTTTTCCGACATACCTACGCCGACACTGAAATGCGAACACATTTTTAACCAACTTGCAAAAAGGAGGTACTCAATTCGATTGAAAGTTTTTTGTTTGTTACGTCGTAACTCCATCAGTTTTAAACTGAAGTGATTTTTGTTTTCTTTTTTTATACAACTTAGAATAGCAAACAAGCTGACGGCCCACCTGATGGAAAGTGGTAACCGTTGCCTATAGACATGAGCAGTACCATGGACATAACAGAGTATACTGTTTCGCCCATGATACCCTCATGCGTTGCCACAGTCAGGTGTTATTCCTCTGTACCCAGTAAACTCACGCCATATCCCACCCTTCAAACCGAAACACAGCCATGCAAACACATATATATATATATATATATATATATATATATATATATATTATATCATTATACCTACATAGTACATATATAGTATTACTAGCTACCTTGGCAAACGTTGTTTTACCATATACATTATTTCGAGAACTATACATGAAAATTTATCGTACTACAATTATTATATTCGATTGTTATCTTGCAACCCTATTGCGGCATATAAAAATCGCGATTAAAAAAAAGGGGTAGATCGTAAAAGCGTGAAAATTCGAATTTGTATGGATTTTTCAATGCTAAATTATAATAAAAAAAAAATAAAAAAAGGGGTAGGTAGTAATAGGGCTGCTCACCCTTATCATCGAGGGGTATGAAAAATAGATGTTGGCCGATTCTCAGACCTACCCAATACGCACACAAAATTTCATAAAAATCGGTAAAGCCGTTCCGGAGGAGTTTGGTAACAAACACCGTGACACGAGAATTTTATATATATAAGATTATTTTATAACACTATAGAACAATTTTAGAAAAAACTACAAAATTTATCAAGTCCTTTATAGATTAGATAAACTCCCACACACGAGAACACCATACCGGGAATGATAGGCCCGTGTGAAGTCGCGCCATCGAAATCTAGATAATGTACGCGAATGACATGAATATTGGACTTTGGACACGCACCGACAATCGTTAATACAGTGGACATCAAGTCACTAACATATTCGGATTCCTAAAACTAGACTGGCGCATAATAACATAAGTTGTAGGTGAATTTTTTTTACAACACAGGGCAAACGAGCATGCGGCGCACCTAGTTAGTGGTAAGTGACTATGCCGCCCATGATCACCCGCAACACTAACGGCATTGCAGGTGTGCTGCCGGCCTTTTAAAAAGGAATATGCTCTTTTCTTGAACGGTTATGATGTCGTATCGGTTCGGAAATACTACTGCTGGAAGTTGATTCCAAAGAATGGTTGTGCGTGGAAGAAAGTGGCTTGAAAAACGCACGGTGGAGAAACGCCACTCGTCCAGATGGTTGGGATGAAACTTTAGTTTATAACGGGTTGTACGATGGTGAAAATCAGCAGCAGGTATCAATCCGAACATATTTATGTTGTAATATAGTTACAAGTTGTAAGAGGCAATCGCAGTTGTACCTATTTGTATTTTTGTTGTACATTGTTAAGAGAGGGACTGGCTGAAAACCAGCGCTGTGCAGCTGTACACATAGCACTGGGACACTCGCAGCATCAGCTGAGCCAGTTCCTTTTGCCCAGAGACACTTCTTATATATGTATTTTCTATTGTAATTCTATTCTGGCAACAAATATTTTCTATTCTTCTATTTTATAGGAATTTTAAATCACATACAGGAGCACGTGCACCTTCAAGACGTGCTTTGAAATCATACAATGATTAATTTACTGGTAGATTTATTTGCACTGTCAGCAGCTTCTTATAAATAGAAGGTAATGGAACAGCTCGCATAAAGTGCGAGTAAAATCCTTATAATACTATCACGAAGTTCCCCCGGGAAACTATCGTGATTAACTCTAGTGGAGTTCGTCACGATTGGCTAACTGACCTGCCTTTTCATCCTCACCTAACGAGATAACAATTCCTTGTTCTAATATTCTGAAAGTACATATTTTTACCTATCAGTAATTCACGAACTGTATATATTATAATTTTCTAAATAATTATGGTCACAAAAACAATATTGAAAAAATTGGGGGAAGGGATAACAAAAAAAAGCATTACTATATATATATTTAATGCGGGCTAAAAATCCCATTGTTAACAATATACCCTAACAGGTCGACCTCCACGTGGTCCTCCTGGATACCATCGTGCTGAATTCCAAGTGTATTTATTCATCACGATGGGCTAACTGATCTGCTTTTTCATTCTCACATACTATCCTCCACTGGTGCCCCGCCAGCATATACCGATGGCACAGACGGGGTTACCATTCCATTACCATCCATAGAAGAAAAAAAACTTACGGTTTCATATTATTAAAAAAAAATATGCATTGGATTTATGGTGCCAATTGTACGTGTTTACAGGCACATGTAGGTATTCTGTTGATGACGCATCAACAACCATCGGGTACTTCGGACAAGTTTTTATGATAAGTCAAATTTATAATTTATTACTTTTGTTGATAATAAGCTGTGTGTAAACGAGCCGGTAATTGCACATGGAGTGGACAAATATGGTAATTCTTTCAGGAGAAATAACCGTGGAAGGGCAACGACTGGGGGCACCGAGGTTCTATAGGTGCTAGTAGTCACACACCAATAAAAAATGAGATTTTTTTTATACAACTTAGAATGGCAAACAAGCTGACGGTCCACCTGATGGAAACTGGTAACCGTTGCCTATAGACATGAGCAGTGCCATGGACATAACAAAGTATACTGTTTCGCCCATGATACCCCCCATGTGTTGCCATTCCTGAGGACTCAGGTGTTATTCCTCGGTTCCCTGTAAATTCACGCCATATCCCACCCTACAAACCGAAACACAGCTGCTTCACGGTAAAAACACGAATGGGATAGCGGTGGCGAAACAAAACTATTGTACAAAGTCTCCCTCTGGTTTGCATCTAGGTATGTAGCTTCACTAGTAATTATGTTTGGAATTGTTTCTACATAGTTTTGTGCCTATCGTTTGTTTAGGAACGTGTTTGTATCTATTTTTTTTAATGGGTGATAATGAAATGATAACCCCACCCGCGCTATCGGTATACACCGGCGGGGCACCAGTGAAGGATGATAGATGAGGATGAAGCAGGTCAGTTAGCCCATCGTGACGAATTCAATAAGAATTGTTCAGGGGAACCACGTGGAGTTCGACCTAATAGGATATTGCTAACAATAGGGGTGTCAATCTCCATTCCTAACAATCCCTTTCCCCTCTGTTTGTATCTATTATACTCGATAAATTTGCCACAAGTCAAGTTTAACAAGCTTTAGTTATCAAGTTGGTCTCGACAGCACAGTCGTGATAGTAGAGGCAAGATCATACATAACAATAATAAGTCATTTCATAATGTACCTACGGACCAGTTATCTCGCGACAAGAAATAAAAAAATGTTTCTAGTATATAGGAGAAATAATAATTTCACTGATAAACGCTTTATCAATTTAACATACAGTCGTACTTAAATGGTAGCATTGATTTATTAACATTGAAATGTAAAACATGAATAAGCAGTTTCGAAGCGGTTTCCTATTACCTAACTAAGTTACCTACTTAGGTATTGTATGTAGTTATAATACATTTACGTATTATTAACGCATTATTATCAATGTCACCTATTAACTATGTCCCAGTAATAAAATAAACATTTTTTTTATGGGTGAAAATGGTATGGTAGCCCCGCCTGCGCTAACGGGATACGCTGGCGGAGCACCAGTGAAGGGTGATAGATGAGAATGAAAACAGGCCAGTTAGTCCATCATGATGAATTCATCAGGAATTAACCATGAGAGTTTCCAGGGGGAACCGCGAGGAGGTCGACCTGGTTGGGTATATTGCTAGCAATGGGATTCTCAGTCTCCATTACTAACAATCCCTTTCCCCCCGAAAACATTTACGTGTAATTAACGCATTATTATCAATGTCACCTATTAACTATGTCCCAGTAATAAAATAAACATATTCATTACTTCAATTGCAAATGTACTAGACTAGTCCAGTCAGACATTATCATTAGAAAAAAATTATAACACTGAATTCAAATCATCTTTATTTAAATAGACTTGTTCACAAGCACTTTTAAATCGCCATTTTTTTAACTAAATCTAAATCTAACGATTTGTAATCTGTTAACAGTCTGAATTTTATGTTTCAACCAAACCCTTGGGTTTAATTAATATTTAATTATTTTTTAAATTATTTCTTACTTGATTGCAGGTATCAACCATTTTTAGCCATAATCAAATTTGTTATATTAAAAAATGTAAGCATTAGAAGATGCATATGTAGAGAGATGTCATCTTAAATTAAAATTTTACTTAAATAACAATAATATTTAATACACAGGCATTCACTAAGAATTTTAGAAATTTGACGAGAAACAGGATGTTGGGTTTCACATGAGGGAAGCCATGGACAAGTGGCGATTTCTAAGAAGCCCTATAGCTGCACAGCAGTGATAGATGTAACTAGTGTAAAGAAGTGCTACCACATGTAGCAAACTTACCTTGCTCAGACCGCTGACTTCGCCTGAAACCACAACTGGTGCTTTGTCATCCTGAAAAGAAAATATTAATTACATTTAGTTAAGTCGATAACTAATGCATGTAAGGTACCATGGGTGTCACAGTGTATTCTGTAATGCCCACACTATTCACATCTATAGGTGACAGTTATCACATTTCATCAAGTGGACCATCAACTTGCTTTATTATCATCATCATCATCATATCAGACACTGACTGACTACTGTTGAACATATGCCTCCCCCTATAGGAGGGAGGAGTTTTGCCAGTAGCTGCCACATTTGGCACTTGGGTTGGCAACCACAATTAGGCTTTGGTTATATTATAAGAAGGATCATCAACTTGTATATTACTATAAAAATCAACCTCACGTTTCAAAAATACATAATTATATGGTGACAATAAATAATTTAAAAAACAGATGTTTTATTTTTTTTATATCATATATTTTTTTATTTAGAATTACAAAGTAGATAGATGCAAAATGACAAAGAATGAGAATGCCACTAATAGCAGAGTATATTCTGTAATTCATCTTAATTTAGTTCAACAAAAGTGCATTATAATAATTTATCGGAGTAACCTCGATGTTTCGACCAGGTAACACTGGCTGTAGTCATGAATAAACTGCTACATGATGACGAGTAGGTAGAAGAAAATAAACCGCCCCTAAGGGCGGCCCATTGACCTATACCTCTGCTTCTGAAGCGGAGACACGACCTCACAATATCAGTCTACTCGTGACCACGGCCGGTGTAAACTCCTAGTGTTACCCACTAGTCCAACCTTTCGTTTCGTCAACCAATTACTAGCAATGTTTTACTTAACATGCTTAGCCGCAATATCATTTATAATATAGCATTATAATTATGCTGTCCATATACCGTCGAATAAAAATCCCTTTTCCTCTACCACTCCGTCGCATTTACTTATGGTACAATTCTAAATTTTTCCATAACCTATGCTTCTACTTACTAAGTCCAATTGAGACTATATTATTAAATGCTGTTAATAATGTACTCTAGGACCAACAAGGTCAGTTACAATTAACAAATATGTGATACTGTACATATAAAGATTTAAATATCCAAAACTTACTTTTTGATCGAAAAATACCGTGCCCTTGACGTCTCCATTGAGTACGCAAACTGCTCTTACAGGCATTTTGTTGTAATGATTAAAAACTTTCTTATTAAATATTTATTTAATATTAACTTAAAAGTTACGACTGTTCAATGGAAAAGATAAGAATTTATTACGTACTAAGAACAAATTCACCGAAAACTACCGAAAGACCGATAAAATAAACGAGTAATACAATAAGTGTTGCCATTTATAAAAATTTATTTTGAATGAGATTATTATTTTTTCATGTCTTCATCACACATCTAGTATACTAGTCTGTCTATCATCAGATTATCTATGTTGTTAGTAGGACAGAGGGAAATATAGTTTTTACACTAAGAACATGTTTATATTTTACAAACATTAATAAATGACGAAATTTTATCCATCATCGTCTACGGTAGTCATTACTACATACTTAACGAATGATAATTTCTGAGTCCCACTCATTCACCACTAATGCATTTTTTTTATTTCTCTTTTTTTCTTTAATTCTTGAGTCGTTATTTTTACGATTATTATCTAAGAAGCTAAGAACATTGAATCTTTGATAAGAAGCTCATAATTTCTCCAAATACATTTCTTTCATATTTGTTAACAAATCCATTTTTTTTCTTCTAGTGATGCGCAAATGAAAATACATATTGTAATATAATAAATCTAGTGACATATATAATCGATATGTTTAATGTAATATTAATAAATAGATAGATACTCTTTACTGTTTCCTCCAAAAGATCACAGTAGTAAACTTATTAGAAATACAAAGAATTACTTGTAATTGTTTGATATGTAATCGTTTCTTGAAACGATCGCTGAAAGCGATCTCTTCTAAACAACCTTTGAATAAAGAGCAATTCCGAATCTTCATTCTAGATTCCGTCCATTTCGAAAATCTTTTGCATTCGGGTGACCGTAAGGACTGACGACCGTGAGACAGAGGAAAAAGTAAAGCTGGTATTCAAAAAACTCGGTGTGGTTAATAGAGCGAAGCAATACTTCACATCAGATCAACAATAAAGTCTCTATAAATTGCAAATCCGCTCTACATGGAGTATCGTTGTCATTTATAAGTGGAAGTACCTAGATATCAGATTGTACCATTTTACTCATTGCAACGACGAGCTATAAATTATTGATAATCTCAGGCTTACAAGCGATATCGAACCCTTAAGTTTGTAAGAGATTTTGCTTCACTTTGCGTGTTCTACCGTTTATACAACGGATTGTGCTCAGTGAATTTATTCAATATGACGCCTACGTCCGATGCGTTTCTACCGTCGTATAGCTCGGATAGCTAGAGTGTTCACCCTATATCTTAGAGCTTAGATGGTCGCGTATAGCGTGGTTTCAGACATGTATCCTCACACGAACGTTTAGGTTTTGGAATAAGCTCCCCGTCGAGGTTTTTCTTAGAGAGACCACAGTATGAGCTTTTTCAAAAAAGGGGTAAAGAAGTTTCTTAAGAGTCAGCAATGCGCACATAATGCCCCTAGTATTGTAAGCGTGTACAACACTTGTTCCTTCTAATAAATCTAGTCATACGCATTAATGTGTGAGTTTGGTTTAAAGTACCCTTAGAACCTCAATAAGATTTAAATGTTTTAACGTTTTAAAGTCACCTTAGTAATTCTACTATCATTTTTCTTATTTCAATAAATATGTTTGTGTACATTAACTATACAAACAATAAAATTAGCTGTATTCATTCGGTATTTTGAAAGAAAATTATCGATATTCATATACCCTGGTATTGCAGACGTTCATAGGCTACGGTAACCGCTTACTGGTGGGCCGTATGCTTGTTTGTCATCTCAGTAATATAAATAAAAAGATAAATTGATTATATTCTTATATCAAAACGTTAAAGACATATCGGTTAAAATCGATGCGTTGTTAAAATAAATCGATGTTTTCAATACATTGATGCGATTCATATGATCCATCCCTAATCTTTATCAAAGAGCGATTAAATAACATAAACAAAACATGTTCATAAATAAACTTATCTAATTATATGGGATACTTTATCGGTCGGGAACGATATAAGTATTGGTACAATTACGTAACATATTTGTTAACTTACATTACAAACTACAGTATTTTTTAGTAAGCAGTAGGCAACAGTTGGCTTACAGTACAATGAATTTTGCGGGCAAAGTTATTATTGTTACCGGCGCCAGTTCCGGCATTGGAGCCGCTACAGCTGTATTTTTATCGAAACTTGGCGCGAAATTGTCCCTTACAGGGAGAAATGTGAACAATTTGACGAAGATCAGTAAGCAATGCGAGACTGCAGCAAACGTGCATCTTATACCGGCAGACTTGACCAACGAAAAAGATATCGAGAATATCATCAATAGTACCGTAAAGCATTATGGACAGCTAGATGTACTGGTCAATAATGCGGGAATTTTAGAGACTGGCACCATAGAGAACACATCCTTGGCTCAATATGACCGACTTATGAATACAAATGTTCGATCAATTTATTATCTTACCATGTTAGCTGTGCCTCATCTTCTTAAAACTAAAGGCAATATTGTCAATGTATCTAGTGTCAATGGCATTAGATCTTTCCCCGGTGTACTGGCCTACAATGTGTCGAAAGCATCTGTTGATCAATTTACAAGGTGTGTCGCATTAGAATTAGCACTAAAGGGTGTTAGAGTGAATGCTGTCAATCCAGGTGTTATTTTAACCGAGTTGCAAAAACGTGGAGGTTTGTCCGATGAACAGTATGCTGCGTTCTTGGAGAGGACAAAGGAAACACATGCATTAGGTCGCCCTGGGAAACCGGAGGAGGTCGCTGCAACCATAGCATTTTTAGCCAGCGACCTTGCAAGCAATATCACCGGAGCTAGCGTGCCAGTGGATGGTGGACGTCATGCTATGTGCCCACGCTAAATTGTCATTTTTATAAATATTTTATAGACATTGGGACAGATCTTAAGATACCATTTCTCAAAATTTATTTCTTAACCTAATATTTTAATTGAATCTATTTGTAAATTTACTGTTTTCTGGACTAAAACTAAATTATGGATTATCTAAAATTATAATAATTTTTATTGAAGTCTATTAAAAAATTTGTTAATATTGTTTCTTGCAATAAAGAATTATGAAATAGAAATTTTAAATATAGTAATAAGTTTAGAGAAATGATACTTCAGAATTCTCCCCGTTGTGTCAAAATGTGCCTTTTTGCATTTTTTTTATTCAATTAGTATATAAGTATAATGTTGTTGATGTAATCTCATATCTTAAATATTGTTTTTTGATATTTTATTAAATAAGTATGAAAATTTGAATTGTTTAATTTTATTTTTGTCTCTGATTAGTTACACAATCGAGATATTTGGAAAATATCAAGATAATTGTACTTTTTAATGGATGATAATGGAATGGTTACCCTGCCAGCGCTATTGGTTTATACTGGAGGATTACTGCTGAGGGATAATAGGTGAGGATGAAGCAGGTCAGTTAGCCCATTGTGATGAATTAAACAAGAAATAAGAGTAGGAAAAATGGGAATTTAGGAAAAGGGCCAATGTTCCTTATTTTGTAAATTAAACAAAAAACGGTATAAATAAAAAAAAAATTAATTCAATACTTCGTATTCTGTTTTTCTGCAGTCTGTTTTTCATTGAACTTATCAATTTTTTGACATTTTTTGAGGAATGTCGTTCCACTCCTCTAATAATGCTGCCGTTTGCTCGTCTATGCTTGAAGGGACTGGATTCCTGGCCCGAACTCTTCTTTTAGGCTCGTCCCATACTTATGGGACATGAATGAATGGATATGAATGCCATCGAGCACTTGCTCGATGGAATTCACATCTCGGGCTGAGCGCAGGCCAGTCCATCGTGCGCAATTCGACCTCTCCAAGAAGATGTAGGTATATACATATATTTTTGTGTATGAAAATTACACTATAATTGCGTAAGATAGATGCGTAAAATTCATAAATGATAAATATACATTGTTTTCAAATTAGTATTAATTTCAAAACTTAAAACTGACAATTGTATCCTTTTATCTATTAATTTTTAAGACTTCTTTATAACGACTTCCGTTAATAGTTAATAATTGTAGTCGATTTTGAGTTTAAAGCACGATTTAATAAACTAATACTACAATTAAAATTTGAGTATAATATCACAATGAAATATTTGTTCTAAGGACCAATGTAAATTAAATTTCTAATAGATTTGCTTTAAAAATATAATAAATTCAATTTATGATGGCCTATAAAGTAGTAATTTCCTTAATTTATCAAATTAAAATATTATATAAACTTAGAAAACAGTCTCAGAATCTCAGTATGTATATATCATCTATGTCTCAGAATCGACCTCTATGTCAATTGCCGAATCCATAAACAGTCTGTGGTCCAATTTGGAATTGACAGCTGACAGTCTTTTACTTCTGAGTTAGCACTCATTCACATTATTAAAACTGAACTAATAAAAATATGAATCTAAGCAGCTATCTGGAAATAATACAATCAAATAAAAAAAAAAAAAAGAAATAGTATTGTGTAATTACTTATTACATGTCTGCACCAAAATATCGATATTAATAGGTATTGTATAGTATTTAGCTACTTCGTGGTATAAAACTATTTTTTACCCGTCACTTCGTCCACGTTATCGGTATATGTTTACTAATTAATATAAAAAGTAGCCTGTGTTTTTCTCCATCCCTTATAGTACGTATATCCCAAATTTCATAGTGATTATTAAGCTGTTAAAATGCTATGAGGTAAAAAACAAACTCACTTATATTTATAATTTTAGTAAGGATTTAAATTTAATGAATTAGTTATATAGATCTTACACGATTTTTCGGCGTGATGTTCACTTGCCTCCTCCCGTCCGTTGTGTGATCCTAAGACTTTTTGTCCCTAGTGTATATCCTAATGCATCATAGAGTAAGTGATCACTACGTCATAAGGGTTGATAATAGCTTTATATCCACGTAATCTGGAAAATGAAATGCACGTTACCTTTTAGAAGTAACAACATAATGAAAAATTATAATAGTGTTGTACCATTATCTATATATATCTCTGTCTAAAATATTAATATTGACTGTGGCACATAAAAAGCCCAGCTATTTCAGAATTTAAATTTTTTCAACTAACTACTACTATTCTATTAAATATGTTTCAAAACTCATTGTCTATTTTTATATAACATAAAAAAATATTTATAATTTTTTTATAACTTAAAAATATCTTTAAAATATATGAAAAAAAGTTCTCAAATTTTAATTAAAATAATTAAAAATTGTTTAAAAATATAATTATTATATTACTATTGGATATATGGAGGGTTTGCCAGTAGGTGCCACGCTTGGCAGGTGGTTTGGCAACTGTAGTTAGGCTTTGGTAATGTTTCAAGAGAGACGCTGCTGCCCAGCCCTAGACGGTTAAGTTTCTAAGTTGTAGTAGTTAAAATTATTTTTATTTCGATTATTATTCATACATAATTTTGAGTACTACTTATCTTTGTAATATATCGTTACTCGTATTTCAATTTATAGCTATAAATAGTCGGAACCATGGACAACACTTTTTTATACAATTTAGAATGGCAAACAAGCTGACGGCACTAATGAATTTTAGTTAATTATACTGTTAAAACTTTTTAGTTAGTAGACTATAATAGTAGATTATGACGCGGTGTGACACTTATTATGGGTGTTGCCTAGCGATTATTTCTGACTGTCGTTAATTACGAAATAGAAAATTAGTAGACGTTATAAATATTATGTTATTTAAACTGTGAGTTAAATTGTGGGTTCGTTTGTGCATATCGTGTATCTGCTTATTCATACTACCAACTCTTGAAGAGTATCCTGCAGTTCAAGGTACAAGGTTTAAGGAATGAATTTTTCTAAGTTTTACAAGTTCATCAAAATTTGTAATATAGCACAAAATTTACATGAACAAGTATATTGTGTGAATGAGTAAGTAAATTTCACTATTGTATCGTAATTTCGCATCACGATTAACAAAAATTTATTTGTATTTCTGTTTATTACTACGTAATTTAACAAAACTTATTTTTAAAACTTATTTAAATGTATTTATAAGTGAAGCATAATTTTTTAAATGGCTCCATAGCTCTGACTGACATAATTTATCTATTCAAAATGGCCATGATGGATATAATTTCTTAATATTAGCTGGAGTCGGTAACATAGATTTATACAAAAACGTCATTCCAACTGCAATGTTGTAACAATGTCAGTTACAAAGTTGTATCACGTTTGTATTATTTTCACTACGTTTGTTATTGAAAATAAATAGATTTGTTTCGGAGTTTATTTTTGTTAGATTTTTTAAAATTGTACTAGTTTCATAAAACTTACCTATTTAAATAGTTTAATTCATTATGGAAAGTGACGAAACAAGGAATTCAAATTTACAATCTTTAATGGTTAGTAAGGATTGTTAGTTAATTTTAAATTCATCTTTTTTATGTAGTATTTATTTAAATATCTATTTGCAGGCAGTCCCCCTTCAGATAACTGGGAATGCTACAATAATGGATGAAGGAATAATAGATGAAGGAATAATAGTATGTATATTTAAATTTAAGTAAATACTACATAGATTAAAAACTTATCTCTCTGAACTAAGTGTACCCACTAATATAGTTTGTTTTTTAAATTATATAAGCCACAACCACTGGTCTAAATTCAGAGTACAATTATTTACATGCCATGTGTTAATTAGTTGTTTGTATTAAAAAAAATATCTAATAAAAAATAAATTAGATTTTTGACACCCCATTAATTAATATTAACACTATTTTTAAGGAATAGGTTAGGTTAATGAATATACTATATTATATATTAGCCATGTGGTCCCCGCATAGAACAGGCCACCCCTTCCTTTACCATGGGTGTCGTAAGAGGCGACTAAGGAGGGCAAGAAATGGGCAGCAGCATTCTTCTCAAAACATCTCTAAAGCCTAACTGAGGTTGCAAATCTGCCTGCCCAGTATGGCAACTACTGGCAACCCCCAAGGGGTAGGCTTATGTTCAGCAGTGGACAAATAAAGGCTGATATTTTTTTTTATACAACTTAGAATGGCAAACATGTCGATGGCCCACCTGATGGAAAGTGGTAACCGTCGTCTATAGACATGAGCAGTACCATAGACATAACAGAGTATACTGTTTCGCCCATGATACTCCCCATGCATTGCTATTCCTGAGGACTCAGGTGTTATTCCTCTGTACCCTGTAAATTCACTGCCATATCCCACCTTTCAAACCAAAACACAGCCATGCAAATACAACTGCATCACGGTAGAAACTCGAATAGTACAGAGGTACCCAAGCAATTGGCTTTAAAGTCTCCCTCTGGTATGATGATGATGATGAATGAATATACTGTATAGTTTATGGTAGAAATTAATTTTAGTAATCATTTGTACAGGCGGAGACCTACCCTGATATTTATGAAAATACAACACTAGTGGATGAAGGTATAACAGTACGTAGTCAAGTCATCACACACAGTAGTAGTTTTTTTTTATACCACAAAGATTGTAAGCAAGCATACAGCCCATCTAATGGTAAACAGTAACTGTAGCCTTTGGACGCCTGCAACTATTGTATTATTTCATAATAGTTCTATAATAATTTAAATTAAGAGATTAGTTATAATGGGTGATAATGGAATAGCAACCCCACCCGCGCTATTGGTATACACTTGCGGGGCACCAGTGAAGGATGATAGGTGAGGATGAAGCAAATCAGTTAGCCCATCGTGATGAATTCCACTAGAATTAATCAGGATGGTTTCCAGGAGGAACCATGTGGAGGTCGACCTAATAGGGCTAATATTGCTAGTTTGACAACCCCATTGCTCAAAATCCCTTTTCTTCCAAGAGAATTTATTAGTAATCCTTGGAACGGTGAGGTCGCTCCGCTAAGCCTGTGAAGATCCCAGGAAGCTTCTGTGCTTCTGTGCGGAGCTGGGTTGACTGTACTAGCCACGACTCATATGCACAACGGCCCATATGACAGGCTAAGTGTGGAGAGTTCAATTTACATTACATTTATAGGTTAGGTATATCGTAATGGCGGTCTCGCTCGCGGCCTCGACACGCGTACGTACGGGCTGGACGGTGGTTAGTGCCGACTACTCGCGTCTGCCCCTGCGCTCGGAGCGTCGAGGTGCGGGTGGAGAAGTATGCGGGGAGCGAGAGGCACCTACCGTTGTCTTACTATGCGCGCTGGCTATACATTACATTTAAATTAATCAGAACTTATTTTCTTTTTTTTTTTTTTTTTTTGCAGGCAATACCATGTGGTATATCTGAATCTGCTACAGTTATGGAGGAAAATACAAAAGTATGTATTAATGTGCATAGTTGATTAACTTAGTAATTATTTATGTCAGTTTAATTCAAGTTTTAAATTAATTAGTAATTACAATACCAGTTAGTAATATTTATTGATTGTTATTATTTTACACTAGCGGCCCGTCCCGGCGTCGCACGGGTGGACATTTTTAACATTTCCCTTCACTGCTCTATGCTCCTATTGATCGTAGCGTGATGAAAAGTATACTATAACCTGCCCAGGTATATGAAGAATAATTGTACCAAGTCTCGTTCAAATCCGTCGAGTAGTTTATGTTTCTATAACGAACATACAGACAGACAGGCAGACAAAAATTTTACTGATTGCATTTTTGGCATCAGTGTCGATCACTAATCACCCGCTGATAGTTATTTTGGAAATATATTTCATGTACAGAATTGACCTATCAACAGATTTATTATATGTAGATTATATTACATATATGTATTACATAGTATTTGTAACATTGTCGCCCCGGATATCAGGGATTGTAGTATTGGGGTTTTTAGTCCCCATTAGTAGCAATGTACCCTGTCAAGTCAACCTGCATGCTGTCCCCCTGTTAATCATTGTGGTTGATCCTAACGATGGATTAACAGAGTTGAGGGCCTACCACGAAATGTTTTCCGAAATTTCGGAGCCAAACGAAACAGAAATTTGATGTTAAAATTACATAATACATGCCGTTTGGATATATTAATAATGTTAAAATATCGTTCCTTTGGACTTTTATGATAGGATGTATGACGAACGAAATGTTGAACTCCATTTATTGGTCCGATTTTGGTATAAACAAAAACGCGAAATTGAGTCCGAAATTTCGGAATTTCTTGTCATGGTAGACCCACTGATTTCATATTATCTCTCACTAGTAATAATCCTCAATTGTAAATTTGATGTTAGTTTCCCATTCTTTGTATATAAGTCGCCTGCATGGGTACATCTGTCGCTCTAGTGTTGTTTTTTAATGGGTGATAATGGAATAGTAACCCCGTCTGCGCTATCGGTATACACCGGCGGGGCACCAGTGAAGGATGATAGATGAGGATGAAGCAGGTCAGTTAGCCCATCGTGATGAATTCAACAAGAATTATTCATGATGGTTTCCAGGGGAACCACGTGGAGGCCGACCTGATAGGGTATATAGCTAGTAATGGGTCTCTAGGTCTTCATTATTACCAATCCTTCCCCCCTCCGTCGTTCTAGTGTTTCTACCATGAAACAGTGAGGCGAAAGATATTGTAACAATATACCTTGTCAGGTCGACCTCCACGCGGTTCCCTCTGGAAACTATTGTGGTTAATTCTTTTTGAATTTGTCATGATGATCCAACTGACTTGCCTTTTCATTCTCTCCCATCATCCCTCACTGGCGCCCCGCCAGCGGATACCGATAGTATAGCTGAGGCTACCATTCATTATAATTAATGACAGAATGGTAAGCACAGTTAGGTTTTGGAGATGTTTTAAGAGAGAAACTGCTGCCCATCCCTCGTCCTCCCTCAGTTGCCTCTTACGACACGAAAGGAAAGGAAGTTGTGGTCTATTCTATGCCGGAACCACGTGGCAAGAACTAGTTAATATTCCTTAACATTTTATAATGTATTTCTTTCCATATTACAGGCAGCACCGTTTGACTTATCAGAGAATGCAACCATAGTGGAGGAAGGTTTAAGGGTATGACCTTTTTATATTACACACTTAATATTACCCATTATACCCTTGTATCAACCAATATAATGTTTTTTTTATACAACTTGGAATGGCAAACAAGCTAACGGTCCACCTGATGGAAAGTGGTAACCGTCGCCTATGGATATGAACAGTGCCATGGACATAACAGAGTATACTGTTTCGTTCATGATACCTCCAATGCATTGCCATTCCTGAGGACTCGGGTGTTATTCCTCTGTACCCTGTAAATTCACGCCATATCCCACCCTTCAAATCGAAACACAGCTATGCAAACATAACTGCTTCACAGTTGAAAAACGAATGGGACAGAGGTACCCAAGCAATCGATTTTTGTACAAAGTCTCCCTCTGGTAATTGGTAAAATGTTAATGCGTGGAAATAAAAACAATTTCTTTTCTTCCAGCTATGTCCATTATGCCAGTCAGAAATCAAACTGTTTTTCATAAACTTCAATGAAAAACTACTAATGTGTGAGAATACAGAGTGTGAATATCCATTTGGCCATGAAGATCTTCAGTTCTACAAGGAGGACAACGAGGCGCAGTCCGAGGATGTGGTCAGCATGAAGAGCAAGCGGACCCTTGAGTCTCCGTCGGCGACCTGCTCTGTAGTTTCAGCAGCTGCTTGGATGGAAATAGACAAGTTGAACCGAGCGTACGAATCAGAAGACAGCCAGTTCGAAATCAAAGTAACGGATAAGATTAAGCATAAAAGAAAGAGAGAACAAGTGGATGATGACAGGGAGAATGAGATCTCCAAAAACATTGAGGATATAAAGGAACTGAGTAAGGAACTAGTGAATATTGATGATAAAATTAAAACGACTAGGATAAACAATGCAAAGTGGATAAAGAATTTGATGAACATACAGACAATATCGGGGATGTCCCTGGTTAAACCAGAGGAGTTAAATATATGGAAGAAACAGCAACCGGCGTTAGGTCTGGCCGAATTGAAAATTGATATAGACAGGAGCAATTCAAATAGTATATCGCTAGTAAATATACAAATCATGAACAAAACTGATGGCAACGAAGCGCTAGCAAATAATTGACCATTTGCTGTTTTTGTTATTAATTCTTTAAGAATTTTAGTTGTTGTTTCCAACTGATTGTTTCTAATCATCGAGATTTTAAATAATTTATTGTTTATTAAAATATTTATTATGTTGTGTTTTTTTTTTTCTAGGTACCTATAGAACTTTTTATGTGCCATACCATAGTAAAATTTACTATACTTTGTTGATTTAAACAATTGTTTTGTTTAAAACTTATTATATATGGCATTTGTGTTTTATATTTGATTAAAATCCAAAGTATTTCAACAATGTAAGTTCAATATTATAATATTGTAAGGTCCATCAATGATAGAAACATTTGTATCCGAAATTGTTTTATAGGGATCTCAAAACCAGGTTACTTCTAAATAAATTGCCAAGAATAGTAATGAACTGCCTCACGTAAACCAACAACCAATTTACAATAATTTGTCGACAGTTCTTCATATTATGATGAATTGTAATAAACTAAAAATTTCCCTAAAATTCGATTTACCTGGAAATGAGTTACCTCTATTGTGTTTATAGTTTTATGAGATGGCGCGTTGTTTTGATTGGCTCATTTTAACCTTTACACGTGTACTATGCGACAATAGATCCTAGACGGATCAATAGATAAGAAATTTCAAAAGATTTTTAGGGTTGCAAATACTTTTGGCCAGACAGTATGTCTGCGTAACATCAAAATCTTAAAGTGAGAGAAGCCACTCATTTTACTATTTCACAACTTTTTTTTTTTTATACAACTTAGAATGGCAAACAAGCTGACGGCCCACTCTTTCACAACTATAAAAGTAGAAATAATTTTACAGAATTTCCTGTAACATTCAGCCATCTCGGTCGAGTGGTAAATGTTTCCTGCAGTCTATGTGGACGGATAGTTCTTAAGTGGTTTGTGATATTAGTTGTAGCTGAATATTTTTATATTAAAGAGTTACTTTATGCATACATTTTTATTTTTAATTCTTTCTTATGCAACTTAGAATGGCGAACAAGCTGACGGCCCACCCGATGGAAAGTGGTAATCGTCGCCTATAGACATGAGCAGTACCATAGAGTGAGCACAGAGTACCATATACTGTTTCGCCCATGATACCTCCTATACTTTTTTTTTATACAACTTAGAATCGCAAACAAGCTAACGGCTCACCTGATGGAAAGTGGTAACTGTCGCTTATAAACATGAGCAGTACCAAAGACACAACAAAGTATACTGTTTCGCCCATGATACCCCCCATGCGTTGTCATTCCTGAGGACTCGGGTGTTATTCCTCTGTACCCAGTAAATTCACGCCATATCCCACCCTTCAAGCCGAAACACAGCCATGCAAACAACTGCTTCACGGTAGAAACACGAATGGGACAGAGGTATTCAATAAAACGATTTTTGCACAAGGTCTTCCTTTGGTAAATTTGTATGAGTGTTGTATGTATGTGAACGTGGTGAATGTCTAGTTTGAAATGGAGCAATTGGTGTTCTATTGTTTCTGTCTGTTCCAATGGGAGAAAGACGTAAATATATATGTATGTAATTTGTAAAAAGTGTATAATGCGCTATCGGTATACGCTGGCGGGGCACCAGTGAGGGGTGATAGGTGAGGATGAAAGAAGGTTCCTTAGCCCATCGTGAGGAATTCCACTTGAATTAACCACGATAGTTTCCAGGGGAACTACGTGGAGGATTTTGTTCTATATAATATAAATGGAGAGAGCACTGGTAATCAACTGGAACCTAATAGCTATAAGGAAGCTGTGAGAAGTCGACCTGATAATTCTCTGAAGGAAAATAAAACTTGGGTGTTGGTAGACATCTCAAGGTCAAATGAAGGATTGCTAGTGATGAGGAAATTAGACCCCATTACTTACAATCCTTATCCCCCCGAAAAAAGTATATTATTTTCTGTTGAAAAAGCAATCCACACATTTCTTAATATGGCAACTTTATTAGTCTATGTTTGATGTATGTAGAGTGATGCTCTCTGGTTGCTCTCTGGTAATTGTAAGAAAACAAATATGTCGCCTCTAATTCATTGTATAACTTAAAAATATTAATAAATATATAAATATAAATAATGTGTCTAAATATAACAATAAATTAAATTACTTCAAAATAGAACTTTCGAAACTTAAGCTCGTTTGATAATACGTCTTGAATGGCAAACAAGCTGACAACTTGTTGGAAAGTGGTAGCTATGGCTTAAGCCATAAACCTGAACCAGTTTAATTAGAATTATACTTCTTAATCATTTCCTGAGAATGATAAAAAAGCTAACGGTTCGACTATGACGATGTTGGATCCCGGCGTTGCTTAATACTGGTGAGTGCTACTACCAATTTCCTATATTAATTCGAAATGTGGACATGGAGGAGAATGGAAAGGATAAAGGAAAGACATTTTTAGTCTAGGTCTAATCGCCTCATTTCTAGCAATGCATACTATCAGGTCGACCTCGACATGTTTTTTTTTGATGGGTGAAAATGATATGGTAACCCCGCCTGCGCTAACGGGATACGCTGGCGGAGCACCAGTGAAGGGTGACAGATGAGAATGAAAACAGGCCAGTTAGCCCATCATGATGAATTCATCAGGAATTAACCATGATAGTTTCCAGAGAAAACTGCGAGGAGGTCGACCTGGTTGGGTATATTGTTAGCAATGGGATTCTCAGTCTCCATTACTAACAATCCCTTCCCCCCACCTCGACGTGGTTTCCCCCGGAAACCATTATGATTGCTGTTTTATTGAAATCGTTACAATGGATCAGCTGACCTTCATCCTCATCCCTCATTGATGTCCCGCGAGTGTATACCGATAGCTCAGTTGAAGTTACCATGCCATTTTCATTAATTAAAAAAATATGGTGATGTTGAAGGGGGAGGGTGTAAGGCGATTATTATTAATAGGAATTAGCGATCCCATTGCTAGCAATATAACCTAAGTCGACATTCACGTAGTTCTCGCTGGCAAATTGTGATTTAATCGCGATTGTGCAGGTGGGGTTACCATTCCATTTCTATATTAAAGATTATAATAAAGTCGTTTATAATACTTCTCAGAAATACTTTTCTACGATGGCAACCTTCGTATCACTCGTGTAATATCTTGTATTATTTTTTGCGGGCATTTTCGCTATCAGTATATGCTGGCGGGGCACCAATGAGAGATATTAAGTGAGGATGACCGCAGATCAGTTATTTTCGGTGTGCGCATAACCTACCCACTTCCTCCCCTCCTTAAATACATGTACAGTCCTAAGTCTTTTTAGGTCACATAAATACACTAATCTTTGCGTTGGACTAATAACACTTAAGGGATTGTTAATATTGGGGTCTAACTGCCCCATTGCTGGCAATACAGAATGCTTTTTTTTATACAACTTAGAATGGCAAACAAGCTGACGGCCCACCTGATGGAAAGTGGTAACCGTCGCCTATAGACATGAGCAGTACCATGGACATAACAGAGTATACTGTTTCGCCCATGCGTTGCCATTCCTAAGGACTCAGATGTTATTCCTCTGTACCCAGTAAATTCACGCCATATCCCACCCTTCAAACCGAAACACAGCCATGCAAACACAATTGCTTTACGGTTGAAACACGAATGGAACAGAGGTACCCAAGCAATCGACTTTTGTACAAAGTCTCCCTCCGGTAATTAATATTAATTAAAATTAATATCATTTGATTTATTCGGTTTTATTTTTAAATTTTATTTGCAATTGGTTGTCAATAAAGTGTTTTTTTCTTTCTTTATTTATTTAAAAAGTTACTTATACGATGGTTTCGCGATGCGTTACAGTTTGTACAGATTACAAAATAAAACGCCATCTTTGCTTGCACCACACACGACCCGTAAAGAATTTACATCGATTTCTCTTTTTTTATACACATCAATAGTTATAAGTAGACAGTATGCACTTAATGTTTAATTATACTTGCGTGTATAAAATAAAATCTTGCTAATGATACCGATTGCGAAGAGAAATTCCTATGGAAGCGGATGTAGCAAGAGTCGTTCCGTTTCACTCAGCCTCACGATTGCTTCAATTTACTCCCAAGCGGATAATTGAAAATTATGTACGTTTCCTGCATTCAACGCATTACGTCACCTGCGATAAAGTAAATATAAACAATTGTACACTTGCAGTTGGTAATGGTTATTTAACGGACCTAATATTTAGGGGGGTAAGGGATTGTTAGTAAATGGGACTAATGCCTCCGTTGCTAACAAGCGCTGTCATGTCGACCTTCACGCGGTTCCCCCTGGAAACCATTATGATTAATAATTTTCGCATTCATCACGATGGGCTAACTGACTCAACTGGCTCAACTGAGCTGAGTGTCTAACAGATGTTTTCCGAAATTTCGGAGCCAAACGAAACAGAAATTTGATGTTAAAATTACATAATACACGCCGTTTGAAAATATTAAAAATGTTAAAATATTGTTCCTTTGGACTTTTATGATAGGATGTATGACGAACGAAATGTTTAACTCCATTTATTGGTCCGATTTTGGTATAAACAAAGACACGAAATTGAGTACGAAATTTCGGAATTTCATTTCATGGTAGATCCGCTGCTTTCATGCTCATCTATCATCCCTCACTGGTGCCCCGCCAGTGTATATCGATAGCAGAGGCGGGGTTACCATTCCATTATCAGTCATTAAAAAAACCTATTATCTTGGGGTATTCTTAGTAATGGGAATTAACAACCCTATACCATATTAGGTTGACCTCCTCGCAGTTTTCACTGGAAACCATCGTGATTGATTCATTGGTAAATATGTCACCATGGGCTAACTGATTTGCTTCATTATTCACTTATCATCTCTCACTAGTATATCGATAGCGTAGGGGGGGGGGGGGGACCGTTCTATTTTCACCCATTAAAAAAACCTACATATCTTGATAGATTCTCTGCTTCATTCGACGCTATAAAATATCTAACCTATTATTATTAGTAATAGGTACTTGACCTCCACATGGTTCCTGCTGGAAATTATCGCAGTTAATTACTAGTGTTACACGACATATTGAATAGCGGGCGGGTTAGCCGAGATCCTCCAGTCGTTCCCTGAAACTTGCCAATGATGGGAACTATACAAATGCCACCTTCCTTTATGGGGCAAGCTTACGTTCAGTATTGGACAATATTATGATATAAATGTCAGGAGCTTAGGGTATACCTGCCACCCAAGACAAATGGCATGCGAATCCATCGATGTAATTATTATTGCTAGCGAGACCATGAGATAAAAAAAGCAGTACCTGTCTAGGAGTTCTGGATTTCTTATTACGTGAAAGAACTAAGCTTGTGTTACCCAAATACTAAGGCGTGACTGGCCTTCCTCAACGGCCTCAGGGTTCAAGAACCCTAACGATTTTCTTTTCTTGGTCCTGACCAGTTCCATCAGAAAAAGCTGTATTTGAGAATTCTTAGCAAAGGACCAACTAATCTGACTTGATCCTCACCTTTCACCGTTCACTAGTGTTTAATACAAATCGATATCTTGGCCGAGGTTTCCACTCCATTTTCATTTCGTAAAAAAAGTGCATAATATATACGTCCATATGAGATGAAACAAGTTGTGGAAATTGTATTCGGAAGGGGCGGGTCCGTGGATAGGACCTGTTGCTAGCCGTTAGAGTTTTGAACTTGACTTTCCCTTCGGAGGCAGGTCGTGTTGCTGCTCGCCAATGTCCGTCTATATGAGATGAATTAATGTTCTTGTTGATTTTATAAATCGATTGCAAACCATGGTTTTGTCTGCGTAAAATCCTATCTACTTTGGACCCAAGTATGTGATTTATATGTAGATATATCAAAGTTCTTTCAAATCTATTTAGTCTTGGTAATAAATCACACACCTAGCACACCTGCAATGCCTCTGGTGTTATGGATAATCACGGGCGGCGGTAGTCACTTACTATCAGGTGAGCCGCAGTTATAAAAAATATCCTAATGCCCTTATTCATGCTACAAATGTGAAACTATGTTTGTTTGTTACCTTTTAACACCTGAACGGCTTCACGAATTACTATGAAATTTGGTATACACGTGCTATACGGGATGGAAAAGAATATAAGCTATTTTTTATCCTTTTTTTATCACAGATATATCTCACCAGAGGGAGACTTTGTACAAAAGTCGATTGCTTGGGTACCTCTGTCCTATGCGTGTTTCAACCGTGAAACAGCTGTGTTTGCATGGCTGTGTTTCGGTTTGAAGGGTGGAATATGGCGTGAATTTACTGGGTACAGAGGAATAACACCTGAGTCCTCAGGAATGGCAACGCATGGGGGTTATCATAGGCGAAACAGTATACTCTGTTATGTCCATGGTACTGGTCATGTTTATAGGCGACGGTTACCTCTATCAGGTGGGCCGTCAGCTTGTTTGCCATTCTAAGTTGTATAAAAAAATCACAGATAAAAATTAGCACAAAATAAATCTTTTTACATCAATATGTACGTGTTGTCCCGGCATAGAAAAGGCCACCCCTTCTATCGCCGTGAGTATAGTAAGAGGCGACTAAGGGAGGGTGAGAGATGGACAGCAGCGTCCCTCTTTCTCCCTTAGTCGCCTTCAAAGCTTAACTGCGGTTACCAATTCGCCTGTCAAACGTGGCATCTACTGGCAAAACCCACCAAGAAGGAGGCCTTTGTTCTGCAGTGGACAGTTAAAGGCTGGTATGATGATGATGATGATGTAAATTAAAATTATAACCGGGCTTTGATACTTGGTGCATAAATTGAGAATTAGAAAAGGTTAAAATTGTTCCAGCCAGGACTGAAATTAAGCATTTTAGGTTTCTTCAAAAAGAAGAATATTCTCAGTTCGTCCGTATTTTTTAAATCTATGATGATGTGATATTAATATTGTTTTTGTAATGTGAAAAAGACTCTATTTTCGGCGTTAAGCCTCTCATTTGGGCCGTTGTGCGTATGAGTCGTGGCTAGTACAGCCAACCTAGCTCCGCACAGAAGCGTAGAAGCTTCCTGGGTACTTCACAGGCCTCACGGAGCGACCTCACCGTTCCGAGGATTTTTAAACGTTGATGGGCCACAGCTTCGCATTCCAGGATTACGTGAGCAGCCGTTTCTTCGGCGTCATAACAGCCTTGACATAGAGGGCTGTCTGTGGCTCCTATTGTAATCTTAACTAATGTAGTTCCTTATTTATTCCATATTAATTCTGCCCTGATTGATGCTACGATGTTTCTTTACGCAAAATCTACCTTATCGATGTTGCTATTTTGTTCAAAATAAATCTAGTTTTTAACGTATTTGAACTATTTTCTTCAAGGAAGCTTGTAGGTATGTTTTTTTTGTTATGAAATGAAATGAATTTATTTTGCTAGAATGTAGGTAGTTTTCGATGAAAGAGGTTTACATTTCCCATATACATTCTGCCTCTATGTCGGCGTGCAAATTATTAACAATATGAAAAATTTACATAATTCTACATTATATTTCCCCTTATTAGTCGTAGTATTTAACACGCACACATAATTTATTACAGTAAATAGAAAAGGAAACAAGAGCCAAAGCGTCAATCACATCTCCAGTATAGACTGTCAAGTACATTTGTTTTTTTTTAGATAAATATTAATTGATGGTATAAAAATTATTACTTTTTATTATACTTTTTTTTATTATACTTTTTATTACGTTATAGATTAGTGATCCGGCCCAGTTTCGCACGGGAAAATAATCTTTTCGAAAATATTATAAACCTATCCTATATTCCTTACTGTAGCTAGAAAGGCGAAAGAATTTTTAAAATCGGTTGACTAGTTTTTGAGTTTATCCATTACAAACGAACAGACAATCTTTCCTCTTTATAATATCAATGAAGATAGGTACTAATCATCGTCATCATCATATCAGCCTTTAACTGTCCACTGTTGAACGTAAGCCTCCCCTTGGGGGGGGGTTTGCCAGTAGTTGCCACACTTATCAGGCGGATTGGCAACCGCAGGCAGGCTTTAGAGGTGTTCTAAGAGGAACGCTGCTGCCCATCCCTCACCCTCCTTTAGTCGGCTCTTCCGACACCCACGGGATAGGAAAGGGTTTTTTTTTATACAACTTAGAATGGCAAACAAGCTGACGGCCCACCTGATGGAAAGTGGTAACCGTCGCCTATAGACATGAGCAGTACCATGGACATAACAGAGTATACTGTTTCGCCCATAATATCCCCCATGCGTTGCCATTCCTGAGGACTCAGGTGTTATTCCTCTGTACCCTGTAAATTCACGCCATATCCCACCCTTCAAACCGAAACATAGCCATGCAAACACAACTGCGACAGAGGTACCCAAACAATCGACTTTTGTACAAAGTCTCCCTCTGGTAAGGTAGGGTGGCCTATTCTATGCCAGGACCACAACAGGTACTAAGTGTATTATATAAGTTTACTACTAGTGCATTTAAATGATAGTAACTCAAAATTTATGTACTGTAATTTTATCAACATTCCAATATTGTATTACTGTTATTTGTATCACATAAATAAAAGAAATAATAACAACGTGAACGTTGGAGAAAGTTTATCTCATCGGATTGTACATTTTTATTTCCATTCTGTATAAATATATCTTGTAATAATTATGTACTATAATAATTTTCGCCGTAGCAAGGCGGCGAGAGTTGTAACCGAGCCCGCCCGGTGTACACTGCACCTAAACTGGCGAGCATGTCCCGTAAACTGGCGAGCTTATAATAGGATGTCGCGGATCACTCTTCTTACTTTCATCGGGTCGCCAGTGTAAGTCGTTGTGAGTTGCAAGTGAAATGGTGCATGTTGACAATCAATAATATTTAATTTTTAAAAAGGTAAGAGAGTTTTGGAAGAGTTTAAAAAAATACATGTATTTTTGGTTTATTTTTAAACAGATTAGAATTTTACCTAAGCACGTGTAATATTGGGTCGATATATAGGGTAACTTATTACAAAATATTTTTAATGCCTAATTGTACATTTGAGAATCGCAAACTATAATCCCATAATTTTAAATTATATAGATAGAGTGTCTCCATACAAATGTTTAGAGAAAAGCGGGTCAACATTTTCATACAATTTTCCGTGACAAATAGTTACGAGTGATTCCTTTATAACTTCTATATTTATTCTACCTTATAATTTCTGCATCTTTTTAATACATAAATACTTATTTTATTTATTAAATAATAAGTCAGGATACATGTGCACGACGCATCTTTTTAGTTTCTTTTTTAATTTTTTTAAAAAGATGTTTTGTTTATAATTTGAAGTCTGTGTCAGTTTAGGTTTTGTTTTTGTTCGCTTTTTTGCTCCGTTGGTTTGCTTTGTATATTTTTTATATATTAGATATTATCTATCTAAAACACCGTGTTTCCATATCAGCATAGAGTCTTTTCGACCAAAATACATTTTATGCGTAAGTATATAGAACACTGATAAAAAACATCAGCTAACTTGACAATTAGCTGACAAAAAGTTGACCCGTTTTTTAAACTCTATGTATATATAGTCTATGTACTATCTACATAATGTAAGAATATAATACATGCAAAAGTTTATAACGAAGAATGAATGGATGTTTGTTACTCTTTCTCGCAAAAACTACTAAACGGATTTAAATGAAATTTGGTACAAGGTAGATTATATCCTAACTTAGTACATATATATATATATGTATTCATGCGAGCGGAGTCGTTGTATACAGCTAGATATTTTATATTATATTCATAGAGAGATGGTTCGAATTTCCACCAGATGGAATTATTGGAAGGTTTTTTTTCAACCTATTTATAAGTAATTTGTCGGAAGTATATATGTATAGTATAGTACATATGTATATATAAATAGTTTTCTTTAATTGCATAATATAAAAGGTAGGCATAGAACATTGGTTTGCTTTATAATTATGATAAGTACTCAGGTATTTATATTCGTATTAAACTAGTCGTACCCCGCGATTTCGCTCGCTTGAATTAGTACATAAAGTATACTGTGTGCTAAGTTAGGATATAACCTACCCGTGTGGGGGGGAAAGGGATTGTTAGTAATGAGGTCTAATAGACCCGTTGTTTTCATTCCAGATGTGGGTGACAGCCATATGTTTCCTTATGACAGTGTACGGTGGCGGTGGAGTTACAAAACAAACAGGTATGTTACCACTGTTTCAACAAAATATTTGTAATTGGTATCTACTATTAGCAAAAGTTACCTCGGATGGTCACTTAAATTAATTAAATGCATACATACATACATACATACATATCTGACACGCCTGTCTCCCATTAGGGTAGGCAGAAACAATGGAACGCCAAATGCTTCGATTCAAACAAACCTCTTTCGCTTGTAATTAAATGCACTTTTATATTAAACTCTTTATATATTTATTTAACATAACATTTACTTGTAACATTTTCTATTTTTATTTTCATTCGCAAAAGGAGACAACATGACTCTTGAACAAAACGCCATCTTGTTTTATTTTTCTTTTTTACTCTATTGTCTATTATTAATATTGCCATATTTATAATATATATATATATATATATATATATATATATATATATATATATATATATATATATATATATATATATATATATATATATATAATGCCACTTTCCGTTGTAATTTTATAACTCAAGAACGGGCTCACCTATCCAAACCGAATGTTTAGGTTTTGTTCGAACTATTTAGTAGATGGTTTATGTGAAGTTTGAACAAAATTGCTCGAGCGGTTCTTCATTTATCACATTTTTTTGTAACAAATGAATTCAATAAATGGCGGATCACTTTTTTAATGGAGATTTTGTGTCAAATTCAAACTTTTTTAAGATGGGGATTGTGCTGTCAAATTGAAACTTTTTCAGTGTTGGCAGTACAAGCATGTTGTTATGTCATTCATGCGGTCATTTCATTTTGGACGTGCTTCGATTAAAGCAAAGGATCAAGTTTTAAAATAGCTAGCAATTAATAAAATATTTTTTGTTTGAATAAATGAATTTGATGTTAAATCTTTTTTTTTATTATTTCACTTTATACGTAGCGGAGCACGTACCGGGCCGCTAGTTACTATATAAAAAATAGTTGTAGAGGCTGTACTAATTAAATAATAAACCCAACATAAAAAGTACATAAATAATAACACAATACAGTATGTACAGGCAGTTACTACGATTAATGCATAATGAATTAAAAAAAAGAATAAACAAAATCGGTTCAGTTATAATTAGAATATTCCCATTTATCATAAGATCCACTCTAAGCAAGCTTTTAAACATTGCGCAATAAAAATTGCGCATCTTTTTTTTTTAACGAGGGGAAATGTTTCATGCAGACCCACATACCTCGGGGAAGATATGTGGGTACTGCCGGACTCCTACCGGCTAAAACCCCCCGGTGTTCCTCTGCTGCCATCTGTCAGTGCTGCGGGACCCCTTCCGTACGCCGTACAAACAATTGCGCACCTATTTCTCAGAAAAATCACTATCCCTTTAAACTTAATCTTGCTGGTTACTCTGTTTGAGTCATAGATTACTATTTGCTTTTCTATTGCAGTTGTTTTATTTAATTGTTTTATATAGCAATATTTTATATATTTATGTATGTATGTATTTAGTGTATGTATATATTTATTTATTTAATATATTAAGTGTATGTTTCTATTACACGAATATACCAAGTATTGCTTTATATTTTCTCTATTCAATAATGCACCGCCTACTTATTTCTCTGTTCGCCCAATGGTCGACTGGTAGAGAACACCGTCCGGTGTTAAGTCCGCCAAATGTACATAGAATTTTACTGTGCATTAAAGTTTAAATAAATAATAAAGTTTAATAAAATAATAAATATAAATACAAATTAAATATATAAAAATGTTATACAATAAATTATATATTGATATCACGTATAAGGTCCAATTAGTAGTGTTAAATCCTGTTTCTCGAGTGCTACCTATCGAGTGGTGGCCCCACTGAAAATCAGCGCTGCAGCACTACGTTGCAGCTTACGCTGATTGGGGACTATTTCAGCTGCTACGACATAATTATTATTTTAATATATAAAGTTGTCATTAATATTGTTATGTTTATTTTATTATAATAGCTTTTTTATCCTTTCATCCAATTCTTTCAACTTTCTTGTAATTGTTACTTTGTTGTATGATGCAACATGCAAGCATGTAACACATGTCTAAGTACATAATTTCAAAGTAATTTCTTCATGTACCAGTCATGCTTATTCGTCAAAAAAAAAAAAAACAAGTCAAAACTGGTCAAGTTATAACTGGGTAAAAGTGGAGTATTTGACGTTATATCGCCAAATCATACAAAAGAAAGTGATAATGAGTTTTACGACGTATTTACACTACTTTTGGCGTTCAACGTTATGCAACATCGATAATTTTTCTTGCATGTTTTGAATGATTATGTATTATGTTATGGTATAATAGCTTTTGATCGAAACTTCATACGCTTAGATTTTGGAAATTGGTATCTATTTCTAAATGGCGTATCAAAATAAGACATACATTAGATGTTAAGATAGATGTTCAATACAATTATGCTTAAACCGCCATTCAATTTGGCGTTGTAGTTTTTACGTTATACTGGAATAAATATAGAAACAGACTCACAGATAAATTAAAATTAATGTTACTGCATAATCTATGGTTGCTGCAAGGATCGTGAAGTGTGAAGCAAATTGCGACGACCTACTAATCAGCAGCCACATTCACGTCATTCGTTATAATTGAATTGCATTATATACCGTCACCTCTTCGTTTCATATGTATTCAAATTATTGTAAATTTATATAGTTCAGTTGCTCACATATTGAAACCATATTCAAAACAACAATAAATTCGTTATTACTGCAAATCCAGTAAAATAAACTTGGAACTGCCCAATCGGCAAGGGCAAACCAACGCACACATGCACAAATAATTATTTTTTCATACTACTATGGTGCCAAACAAGCCCACCTGATGGTAAACGGGGTTATTGTATGTATGTATATCATATATATCATTAAAATAGGTAAATAGCTTCTAAAAAATTTAAAACTCAAAATTAATAAAAAATTTAAAAGAGTATATTCCTTTTTAAAAGGCCGTCAGCACACCTGCAATGCCGCTGATGTTGTGGGTGATCGTGGGCGGCGGTAGTCACTTACCATCAGGTGAGCCGCATGCTCGATTGCCCCCTGTGTTGTAAAAAAAACTCAATGTTTTAGAAGCTATTTAACTATTTTGATGACGTGCTGATGATGAATCCTGACCGTTTGGGATCACGACAACAGCTTTGTTTCCGCTATTGTTAATTAAATTTATTGTTACTCAAATACATTGCAGGGAGTCAGCGGATGCAGGTGGCTCAGGATCGTTCCTTGTGGCACTCTATGGGGGAGGCCTATGTCCAGCAGTGGACGGATTATGGCTGAAATGATGATGATTGTGATGATAAACGGTTATATTCCTGTTGTCTCTACAAGAGATATTTCTATTGCGCTACAGATAAAAACCTAGTAGTTCAGTATTTAAACAAGATAATCTTTCAATTTATTTCTTTTCATTTCAGGCATTACCAAATTTTGGACAGACGACTTTAAAGTTTTTGATCAGGTATATGGGAAGACTTCGGACAAAGATATTTACGGTGCATCCCTGCCGCCCAGCATCAGTTACGGACACAAGAAACCCTCGGCTTCTGAGAAGAAGGAGAGATTCGTCGACACCGGTTTCAATGATGACTATTCAACTAATATTGATGCGGAAAAATTCGCTGATCATTACGCGAAAATATTTCAAAAACAACTGCTAGATTACGAGAAGCCAGTACAGCCGGCGAGATCCAATTTAAATTTCGTAAGCTACACGGATTTCAAGCCAATCAGTCAAACGAGCGATCCTGATACATACAACTACTTGAAACATCTGGAACACTTTGATAAGATTAAAAATGTTGAGTTTCCAAAAGGCGTTGGTGGTTTTAAACCGTACTTGACTAGTGCGAGTAACATTGAAGAATCGCAAGCGTACAAAAGTATCCAAGACATATTGGATGCTCATGAAAGTAATAAAGCTGAAAGCGACGACAACGATGAAGAGGACGTGAACTATTTGAATTACCCACGGCCTAAGAACAAAAAGAAGTCTTACCCAAGGTATATTCAGAGTAATGAATTGAACAAACCGAGATGTTCATCGGGCAGATGCAGGAAGAGAACGACAAGTTACGTGCGACGCACTCGACCGTACGTTAGGAAGATAAAGCATAGGATTGTTAATTATTAACTCTACGCCTAGCGCTCTGGTATTATGGATAAAAGCATATTACAGCGACTTAAAAATTTATAGACGAGTAATCGGGATAAGGGTTGGAAGATGATAATGACGTCTAAAGTCAGTAAAAACTAACTATATAAAGGACCTGAGATCTTAATGAAAATGTTAAGATTTGTTGAAATTATCAACAGAAGTACTCTCAATGGAGTTAAATAGTAAAGTTACAAATCAAATTGTTCCATTTATTTATTTATTCTTTATTGACCATATTACAAAAAAATGTCTGGTACATAAGGCGGACTTGTCCATCAATTTTTTTATTTTTTTTTATTTGTATAATACAATTATATTTTTATTAAAATTCATTGAAACGGATCGTACAGAGTGTAAACTATTAAATATATAACAATACAATTAGTAGAGTACAAATGTGTGGAATTGATGGTGACTATGGAAGCTAATTTTTAACTATATCATGCACAAAATTGTTTGCTAAATTGTTTTCTATCACTGAGAATATATTAAAGTATAATCAGTCAATCAGTCATACATATAAAATTACATATTTTATTTATTTTGTAAAAACACGCAGCAAGCGTAAATATTTTATGTATAATATGGTCGGTCGCGCACGCAGCTTATTTGTTATACCTATGCGCGCGCAGGTCGCGCATGCGTATATGCAAGGAATGTTGATGTTGGCGCCACGGCACATACATATCGTTTTAATACTTATACCGTTTTTTATGTTTTCTATTTGTCTCCTTCTGTACTTGTATTTATACTTTTCTTTTAAGAATTACTGTATTAATAAACATTTACATTCTACAAATACCATCGCTTTAATAGCTTATGGTGTCCTATAGCTGAGCAAACGCCCTTTCTAACTGGTTCCATCTCGCACAAGCGCTGGCCAAGCCTTAATGATCATTTCTTCGTTGCAACGAGGACTTTCGCGACTTCTTTTTGACTTCCAGGTATTTAAAGATGAAATATATATTATATTTAAATTACATTCAAGAGTACATCTGTTGGTTTTAACCATTTTTGTTTTTTTTTTTTTTTGTACATTATCATTAATAGTAAATGTGTATAGAGGCACTAAAATAATTGTGGATTATTTAAAAAAAAAAAAACATGTTAAGTGCACCACACGAGTTGCATTCGGAACCCGCCTGATTTGTCTTTTTGTCGTTAATTTTGTAAATAAACGAATGCTTTATTTATAACAATAGATTAAGAAATGTTTAATTATTGAAAATCTGTTTAAAGTTATTAAAATGTTTTATTTATATCTATGGTTTTTTTTAAGGATCTGATTATATTATTTATTTCCCATTATATATGCTATTTATCTATGAGTAAGTGACTGTTAATTATGATTATTCATTAAGTACATGAAGTCAAGTAAGAATCTTATTTAGCGTGGCTGTGAGGCCGGCCTCGCAGGTACCCCACCAATCTGGATGGATGTACCTATATCTAGTAGGGGGGAAAGGGATTGTTGGTAATGTGGTTCCACGCGGTTCCCCCTGGAAACCATCGTGGTTCATTCTAGTGGAATTCGTCACGATGGACTAACTGACCTGCTTTCATCGTCACCTATCATCCTTTATTGGTGCCCCGCCAGCGTATACCGATAGCGCAGGCGGGGTAACATTCCATTATCACCCATTAAAAAAAAAATATATCCATTAGCTGCGTCACTTTCTATTACATATAAATTTCTTATTTAGTTTTATTTATTCTGTTACAGAGGTTTAAAGTTTTAAACAATGTAAGCCATTTATTTTTAGAAAACTAAATTTTACTCGGTGCTTTCATAATCGTTCGTAGGAATTTGTGGGGATTGGATCCGGAATTTTTTCGTCCCAATTCCGGAGGTAGTTTCAGCAAATATATTAAAGGGGTTCCTGAACTTTTAAGATAACAGAACGCCCAACAAATACCTTTTATTTTATAGAACCCCATATCAAACGATTACAAATCAAAAACACTGTAATTTGAATGAAAACAAAAGCTTTCATTAGAAATATTTTAAAAGTATACCTATTTGTAGTTTCCTTTAATTTTTAACGTGAAGAATGAAATAGTTTCACTGCTGATGGGCGAAACAGTATACTCTGTTATGTCCACGGTACTGCTCATGTCTATAGGCGACGGTTACCACTTTACATCAGGTGGGCCGTCGACTTGTTTGCTATTCTAAGTAGTATAAAAAAAAATGTATAAATAATTTCGCAAATCCCTGATAACTTTTTTTTAGGGAACCCACTTTAGGAATTGCTAATTTAATAGATGCAAATGAAAACAATCTTTTAAGTAGGTATGATTATAATTTAATTCTTAAATTAATAAAAAATAATACTTAAACTACTTACATCCTTTTATCACAATTTTCTCATGAAAATTGGTTAAAAGAAATTTAATGTGATTTCACTCAATGCTTCACTAACTTGTCCGGCATTAGCACGATGTCTGGCAAGTAAGTGACGTTGCGTCCTCATCACTGACGTGTCAGACTGTTTTGTACCCTCAGTAGATGAAGTTAGGGTTGGTTTGGCTCTGCCGGCTGTTAGTCAAGTTATTGTAATTCCTGCCCTTCCTCTTGTTCTCTTCTATGCTTTGCAGCAAGAAGGGAGGAGCCGTTGATTGCTTCTGATGCCTGGTGTCCAGTTCTCGAGTCAATTCTTCTACGAAGTGCCCATCCGTCTGTCTGAAAAAATAAAAAGTTATTAATATGGTCAGGACGGATGGTGATGGTGCAACAAATGTTTGCAGAAGCAAGACTGTAATGCCATATGGGATTCTCGTATCTAATACTATATGAGAGCCTATACAATTACATATATACATATCTGTCTCCCATTAGGGTAGGCAGAAACAATGCAACGCCAAATGCTTCGTTTCAAACAGGCCTCTTTCGCTTCCTCTACAGCCATCAATCTTTTCATACACGCTCGCTGGTTACGGGTGCTTTTAATTAATTTATATAATTAATAAGAGGGAGACTTTGTACAAAAGTCGTTGCTTGTGCACCTCTGTCGCATTCGTGTTTCAATCGTGAAGCAGTTGTGTTTGCATGGCTGTGTTGCGGTTTGAACGGTGGGGGATATGGCAGTAAATTTACAGGGTACAGAGGGACAACATATGAGTCCTCAGGAAAGGCAACGTATGGGGAGTATCATGGGCGAAACAGTATACTCTGTTATGTACACGGTACTGCTCATGTCTATAGGCGACGGTTACTACTTTTCATCAGGTAAGCCGTCAGTCCGTCAGCTTGTTTGACATTCTAAGTTGCATAAAAAAAAAAAAAAACTAAAGCGTTGAAACGATTTTGCTAAAATCCCTATGGAGTCAATCTGTAAATATTTTTTTTTATATATAAGAAGATATAAAAAGAATTTTTCAAATTGGTTTATATGTACCAAACTGACGGAGTTATGAGGTCACAAATATAAAAATGAAATACATACAGACAAATTGAGAACTTCGTTCTATTTGAAGTCGATAGAAAATCTATACTACCTACTTGTAGTATGTAAGCGTTTGTTTGTTTGAACACATTAGATTCGTAAAATTCCTTTTGCCTTTGCTAACTCATGTCTTGAGGAAGGCTATTCAATTTCTCGATATGACCACGAGCGGAGTCACGGGATACAACTAGTATTTTTTATGCAAATAAACTTGACTATAAAACAGTTATATATATATTTTCCTTTATATATAATTCTAGCGCCAGGTTTGGAATTTTGTTATCTGTCAAAAATATCTCGATCTACTGTTTACAAAAACTAAAATAGCTAGATAAAGTTATTCATGCATTCTAAGTGCCTACTGTAGACATTTTCGTGACTCATGGACGTATTACTAGCTAGATTGAGCCTGTATAATTTTTGTTTAAACAATGACTGAGTTAGTGGAATGCAGCGAGATTAGTATATAATGAGCTGTCCACATTATAATAACATAATGTTTTTATCAGATGATTCAAATGTGGTGAATTCATAATATTCAAGTTGAATATTGATTCACACAGCAGATTTAGATAGCTAAAATAATGGGAAAAAGATTTTTTTAAAGAATCGTTCTATAGAAACGATGAAATCCTTCATCAAATTCTGGGACGTAAAAATCATCGTATTGGCACAAAAATATTGTATATATATCACAAAGAGATTAAAAAGGGCCTTTGTAACTGTTTATTTATGTTCTATGAACGGCTTATCCAAAGCCAGGGGACTACAGATATCTTAAACCGCGGGATATCGTTAAGGTAACACAAAGGATCTATGAAATGATGGTATAAGGCAGGGGGAAGCACAAAAGATCTCAATGGGTCGACGTGCAACAGCTCAGCTGACCCCATATGCGAATATAAGATAAGATAAGATGTTCTATGAATCAATGACGTGCCTACGCCCAACAGAATGATGTATTTGAGTTTTAGTTCTCATAATTTCTATTCACATCAGCTAAAATTCCGAATTGAGCGATAGAATCATAAAAAAATAGTAATTTAACAATGCTTTAAATTAAGTTTAGATATTCGAATAAAAATTAGGTAAGTATTTTAATTTTCTTCTATGTTATAATAACTGTTTCCTGGTTATTCTGTAGTAAGAAACAATACATAGCCCACCCTTCAAATATTCTTCACATTTGAAGGGGTTTTTTTTTTAAATGGACGATAATGGAATAGTAACCTTGCCTGCGTTATCGGTATACACCGGCGGGGCACCAGTGAGGGACGATAGGTGAGGATGAAAGCAGGTCAGTTGGCCCATAGTGATGAATTCATAAAATAAACAATCAAGATGGTTTCCAGGAGGAACCGCGTGGAGGTCGACCTGATAAGGTATACTGTTAGCGATAGGGCCTCTAGCCCTATTACTAACAATCCTTCCCCCCATATTTGAAGAGTGGGCTTTATATTTTTTTTAATGGATGATAATGAAATGGCTCTCTCGTGCTAACGATATGCACTGGCGAGGCATCAGTGAGGGATGATAGGTGAGAATGAAAAGGCAGGTCAGTTAGCCCATCGTGAATATATCTGGGATTCAGCACGGTGGTTTTCAGAGGGGACCACTTGGAGGCCGACCTAACAGTGTCTATTGCTAGCAATGGACCTGGTAGTCCGCATTACTGATAATCGTTTCCTCCTTGGGTGAGCTTTATTAAGCGAGAACCTGTAAATGCGACATCTAAGATCTATTGGTCGAGGAACAAGTCTCACCGGTATGGGTCAGGCCGCGAGCCCGTGTTCGCCTCCACGTCGTCGGGCGCGTACATGGCGAACCCTCGCCTCGACAGCTCCTCATCCGGCACGAGACCCGGGTTGTGGAATGCGTGGTTTTTGTCATTGTTCATTTTGAGTTTCCTGAAAAGGATTGTAATATTTTTTAATTTAAATTTATCAGCCTTTAACTATCCATTATTGAACCTTGGTCTCTCCCCTTGGGTTTGTCACTAGGACAACGAACCACTAAGTGTCATGTCGTATAGGGAGGTCAAGGATATGGCCTGGGATAGAGCTGGCTGGAAGAAGATGCATGAATTAGTTGCACCGACAGGAGGAAACTCTTAAATGGAAATAGAGACTTTCATACACGCCAAAATACCATCATTACTAAAATGTGTTGAACACTTTAAAAGTTGCACAAACATATACTCGTATTGCACCCGTGCGAAGTCGGGGCAGGTCACTAGTTAATTTTGTAGTTCATTTTCATAGGCGATGTTTGCCACTCTATATCAGGTCAGGTTGTTTGCTATTCCATTTTTTTTTTGTATTATAAAGAAGTATTATACTCACTGGACTCTCAGCCTGCCAGTGGTCTTCATGTCGGAGACCCTCCGTTTAAGGCTGGCCACCTGGACGAATAGCACCACAGCCATGAGGAACAGCACCACCCACGCCGCGCCGAACACGCTCACTATTATGATGGTCTCATTCTCCTGAAAAGGAATGCTCAATTATATAAAGTAACAAGAATTTTCCGATCCCTTACTAGATGGAGTGACGACCTCCAATGCATTGCAGGGAGTCAGTGGATGCAGGTGGCTCAGGACCGTTCCTTATGGCAGTGTATGGGGGAAAGCCTATATTCAGCAGTGGCTAATAGCTGAGATGATGATGATGATGATCAATCAATGAACAATGATCAATTTGAATTATATGAAAAGTCTGCAAAGCAAATTTTTTTATACAACTTAGAATGGCAAACAAGCTGACGGCCCACCTGATGGAAAGTGGTAACCGTCGCCTATAGACATGAGCAGTACCATCGACATAACAGAGTATACTGTTTCGCCCATGATACTCCCCATGCGTTGCCATTCCTGAGGACTCAGATGTTATTCTTCTGTACCCTGTAAATTCACGCCATATCCCATCCTTCAAACCGAAACACAGCCATGCAAATACAACTGCTTCACAATTGAAACACGAATGGGACAGAGGTACCCAAGCAATCGACTTTTACCAGTGTTAAGTCTGTCAAACGTACATAGAATATTACTGTGCAATAAAGTTTATATAAATAAATAAATATTACTACTGGGCTGTCATTTGTTTCCCATTTCCAACAATGAGAAGCAAATTGGTGTGACAATCATAATATGCCTATTATTTTTTTCTATTAATTTTCAATCGTCTTTTGTTTTACAATTCTATAATATGGTTGTATGTTTTTCTACCAGTGTAGACGGAATACTAGTAAAAAAGAACTCCAATATAAAGTTTTTTAATTATTTAGCCGTGTCTCTTAATTAAAAACCACATAATTTATATTATATATGTATTTGTATGTATGTATGTTTGTATATTGATAATATTTATATAATAGTGCGCCACCTACTCTTTGTCTTTTTCTCAATGTCCTCTACCCAAAGGTTGTCTGGAAGAGATTGCTTAGCGATAAGGCCGCCTTTTGTATCACTTCTCATTAATATTTACTGTATTTGTTATTTCTCTTTTTACTTGGTGCAACAAAGTGTAAATAAATAAAACAATTTAATAAAGATTACAAATGAAAAAGAGACACTACGTAGAAATCACAGCTACATGGTAGGTATAATTTATTATTATGCTGTTTGTGTATAAAAAATGGTGCCTCTCTAACATAAAGGGAGTATCATATAAATATTTGCTGATGTGATAAAATGCTTTCGATAACTCACACCGCCGCTTTATCTCAAGAATTTAGGTGAGTGGCTCTCATATTGCCGGCTTAGATACTAAACGTAGTGTGCAGTACACAATATTAACTTATTTATTCTGGATATATTATTTATTTATTTATTTTACACTTTATTGCACCATTTAGAAAATAGTAAATACATTTAATTGTAATGAGAAGTGATACAAAAGGCGGCCTTATCGCTAAGCAATCTCTTCCAGACAACCTTTGGGTAGAGAACATTGAGAAAAGAAAGAAAAACAAAGGGAGGTGGCGCACTATTATATATAAACAAATATATACAAAGACATATACATATATATATGTGTGTATATATATATATATATATATATATATTTAATGGGTGAAAATGGAATGGTATCCCCGCCGGCGCTATCGGTATACACCGACGAGGCACCAGTGAAAGATGATAGGTGAGAATGAATGTAGGTCAGTTGACCCACCATGATTAATTCGACAAGAATTCAGCACGATGGTTTCCAGGGGGAACCGCTAGGAGGTCGACCTGGTTGGGTATATTGCTAGCAATGGGATTCTTAGTCTCCATTACTAACAATCCCTTTCCAATAAAAATCTAAAGTATGTTTCATATTACGCCGTCTAGAAATGGCCAATTTAATTGGTTCTCCTCTTCTAAAATCCACGTGTACGAAGTGACAGGCAGAAAGATAGAACAAAGTTTTTTTTTTTGGAACAAAACCACACACACAATCTATATCACAAATATTCCAAATCTGATATCGTCGTTAAGTGGCAACTCCATGTAGAGACTGAATTTTCACCATGCCTCCAATCAAACTATAGACAACGTACTCAAAAATGATACCACTTCTATAGTTCCACTGGTGTTTTTTTTTTTTATTTATTTACATATTAAAATTAAAGCTTCGAGAGAATGGTACAAAAAAAAATTCAATTAATTATTTTTCTTTTTTCAAATATTCTTTCCAGCCATGACCAAATTTTTTATAATAAATCTAACTCCTCTCCATTCAAAGGTTGCCTGGACGAGATCGCTTTTACCTATAAGGCTGTTGTTTTCTCATTGTGATTATTTCTTGTAATTGTTTATATTTATAATAAGTTTACTATTGTAATCTTATGGAGGAAACGATAAAGAGTATCTATCTATGTATTTATCTATAGACAAGTAGTATGACGGTTTCCGGTCGATGTTAAAGGCACCTGAAACGATTATTAATACCATGCAAGTCTTATATGATACCTACCTTTGATTTATCAGATTCTTTATATATTTCCTAGTTATTTTAGTTTAGAGTCATTGTTATTGTTTCCATTAAGGTTTTAACGTTAGGTATTGATTAATTAATTAATACCAGAGGGAGACTTTGTACAAAAGTCATCTGCTTGGGTACCTCTGTTCCATTCGTGTTTCAACCGTGAAGCAGCTGTGTTTGCGTGGCTGTGTTTCGGTTTGAAGGGTGGGATATGGCGTGAATTTACTGGGTACAGAGGAATAACACCTGAGTCCTCGGGAATGGCAATGCATGAGAAGTATCATGGGCGAAACAGTATTCTCTGTTATGTCCACGGTACTGCTCATGTCTATAGGCGACGGTTACCACTTTCCATCAGGTGGGCCGTCAGCTTGTTTGCCATTCTAAGTTGTATAAAAAAAAATATTTAATTTCGCCATTTGTGCGACCTACACGATGACTGGAAGTCTCCTTCTTTTTGAGTTTGAGTTTATTTAATTTGTCTTTGTCTAATGTGGAGTATAGAATTTAAAGAATATAACATAAGTAGCAAATACTTAATACTGTGTGGGGGGAAAAGGGACTGTTAGTAATGGAGACTAAGAATCCCATTGCTAGCAATATATCCAACCAGGTCGACCTCCTCGCGGTTTCCCCTGGAAACTATCATGATTAATTCCTGATGAATTCATCATGATGGGCTAACTGGCCTGTTTTCATTCTCATCTATCACCCTTCACTGGTGCCCCGCCAGCGTATCCCGTTAGCGCAGGCGGGGTTACTACTCCATTTTCATCCAATAAAAAAAAAATAACTTATACTATGTTTAACAGTAAAGATTATACTGTGACCATCATCACGATAAGAGATACGGGCAGTGACGTTTTATTACGTTGTATAATTTATAAAAATAATATCTTTATTCATATTTGTTATATTTAAAAATATTTAAAACGGAAATAATTAAAAATATAATAAAAAAGCAAGTTCAAGTCACTAACACGACACGAGTTTATTTTTATGCAACATAGAATGTTAAACAAGCTGACGGCCCACCTGATGTAAAGTGATAAATGTCTCCTATAGATTTACATTAGTACGCACCATGTGTCGACCATGATACCCTTAATGTGTCGCCATTATTGAGGACTAACGTGGTTTTTTTATTGTGTTAGTTTTGGATCGCATAAGACAGAGCGATCCAAATTCGCTATTGGATACGGGTGATGGGTCAGTTCAAATTATGGGAGATTGACTTAAAAATGAATCTACACATAGGATATGGTTAATATGGACAGGTTATTAGGACTTAGGTGTTTTTTTTTAATTGGTGATAATGAAATGGTAACTCCGCCTGCGCTATCGGTATACGTTGGCAGGGCACTGGTGAGGAATGATAGGTGACGATGAAAGCAGGTCAGTTAGCCCATCGTGACGAATTACACTAGAATTACTCACGATGGTTTCCAGGGGAAACCGCGTGGTGTTGACCTGATAGGGTGTGTCACTAGCAATGGGTTAGACGCAATTAACAATCTCTTTTCCCCGGACTAAAGTATTTGTTTTTTTATTAGATAAAAATGGAATGAAAACCCCGCCTACGCTAACGGGATACGCTGGCGGGGCACCAGTGAAGGGTGATCGATGAGGATGAAAACAGACCAGTTAGCACATCATGATGAATTCATAAGGAATTAACCATGATAGTTTCCAGGGGGAACCGGGAGGAGGTCGACCTGGTTGGGTATATTGCTAGCAATGGGATTCTTAGTCTCCATTACTAACAATCCCTTTCCCCCCCGGACTAAGGTGTTATGGTTCTGTACCCTGAGTTGATATAAATATAAAAAGCTTTTATAACACGTAAGTATAGGCATTTTCTAATTTCTTCGACATTCTTTACTATATGGCCATGATAATAATTAAATACAAAGCTTAGAAAGACTTATTTCTTATCGTAAATAGTATTTGAATAAAGCTATTTTTTTCATTTGCATTATTTCTAATTCTACTAATGAATTAAATGAACAATCCATAAACTCACCATTGTCTATGGTTGCGACGAGCTCATGTTTAGTTCCACCACCGTTAGCAGCACACACGCCACTGGCATGTAATCGAGTATGTTATCACGTATCTTGTTATCGTGCTGATAACAGATTGTGGACATTTTAGTAAGGACAGTATCGTGGTAGAAATTCCAACGAATTTCGTCTGACCAAAACTGCAATATACATTCTATTTACATATGTAATTTAATTTTTGTTTATTTTTAGAGTACAGTACTTTTTAAATCGATTACAAAAAAGGAGGTTATGGGGGAAAGGGATTGTTAGTAATGGAGACTAAAAATCCCATTGCTAGCAATATACCCAACCAGGTCGACCTCCTCGCGGTTTCCCCTGGAAACTATCATGGTTAATTCCTGATGAATTCATCATGATGGGCTAACTGGCCTGTTTTCATTCTCATCTATCACCTTTCACTGGTGCTCCGTCAGCGTATCCCATTAGCGCAGGCGGGGTTACCATACCATTTTCATCCACCAAAAAAAAGGAGGTTGTATTTTCTCATGTTTGTCACTTCATAACTCAATCCGGTATAAATCGATTTGGGAAATTCTTATTTTTGTCTTAAAGGATATACTTACATATTGGTCTCATAAAAATTTGTCAAAATCAGTTCAGTACTATAGTTTTTTTTATACAACTTAGAATGGCAAACAAGATTACAGCCCACTTGATGGAAAGTGGTAACCGTCGCCTATAGACATGAGCAGTACCATGGACATAACAGTATACTGCTTCGCCTATGATACCCCTCATACGTTGCCATACCTGAGGACTCAGGTGTTATTCCTCTGTACCCTGTAAATTCACTGCCATATCCCACCCTTCAAACCGAAACACAGCCATGCAAACACAACTGCTTAACGGTTGAAACACGAATGGGACAGAGGTAGCCAAGCGAACGACTTTTGTACAAAGTCGTTAGCTTGGTTAGATAGTTTAAAAAAAAAAAAATTGTTTTCCAAACTAAAGTATTTAAAAAGTTTTTTCACAATTGAAGTCGGTTTTTTTGGAGCACAATTTAAATTTATGGGTTTTAATCCCTTTCTTTTATATTAATAGTGAATAAAGTATGGCACTTTAGGTGTCCACGTATTGTTTAAAGATAAGAGAGTTTTACAGAAGATTACAGTACTTGTATATCTTATTTATATTAGATTAAGATGAATATATTTATATGGTGTAAATAATCTTCGAGAGACGTCCTTTATTACAAAAACTATAGTAATAATAATAATAATAATATTTCTTTATTTATAGATTACAAAGATCCATTTTTGTCAGTAACAATTGACTTAAACTATGTTAATTGAAAAAAAAAATTTTCATGACAAAATTACGATAAAAAAGGATTTTTACCTGTCCGCTTAAATTATTTACTTTTAGTATTTTTATTTTACAAACATACAAATATTTTGACAAATTTACATTCGTGGTATTATTTAATACTAAAATGTTAAATAATACTACAAGAATCATTGATATTTTTATTAGTAACCTGCCAAAGAAAAAGCGCCCCTGAAAGATCTGGAATCGGCTTGAAGCAGATATTAGATGCGGTTTAGAAATGTCTAGAGTCGGATTGAATACTGATTATGTAGTTTTATATATAAGCACTATTGTTATTTATTTATTTATAATAATATATACATATTTTTAGTGTAGCTGGTCACATCAAAAGACCGGTGTGAACAACGCGCGAGTGGCTACCGCTGTTAAACAGCTAACTTCACGCAAGTAGTCCTGAGTACGAGAAATTGCATGTCAGATCTATCCACGCGTAATTGTGAATTGTTAAAAAACTTTAGACCATCAGCTTTGCATTAGAGAGCTTTACAGATTTACTAATGTAGTAACCATAAGTAAAAAATAGAACATTATAATAATAATGAGGAAATAATAATAAAAAGTATAAAATTAAATATTAAAAATGCAATTCTACGTAATTTGTTACCGCTCTGCGAAACTCTGTGGCAGTACAGTGAAATAAGTCCAGATTGGAACTCGCTACTACCTCATTGAGCAGACGTAGCGCCCTCGTGAGTTGCGCCAGGTGGTTTACCATGAAATTCCAAATTTTCGGGCTTAATTTCGTGTTTTTGTTCGTACCGAAGTCGACCCAGTAAATGGAGCTTCACATTTCGTTCATCATAAATCCTATCCTAATAGTCCAGAGGAACAATATTTTAATATTTTTAATAATTTTAAACGGCACGTATTATGCAATTTTAACATCAAATTTCTGTTCCGTTCGTCCCCGAAGTTTTGGAAAATATTTCATTGTAGGCTCTCAACATGGAATGTCCTGTCGCGTGGTAGAGCAAATATTCCGTGATTACGTTCACGCTTAGGTATCTGATGTTTATAATTATTTTTATAAATAAATAATTAAATTTTACGTGTATAAATTGCAAAAATGAAGGTATGTTAATATCATGATACTTTTATAATTAGTAGATTGTTTTATTTGACTGTATATTTGTTTATGTATTAATAGTTGTAGCACTTCAGCTGCCCGCTAACGAAATGCTGTCTCACTGTACTGGGTTGACTGGAAGAGATCTCTGTCAGAGATAAGTCCACCCTTGCTTACGACATGTATAAATTGATTATTTTATATGTAACTTACAAGTGCAATAAAGAATATATATTGTGTGGATTGCATACAAAATAATTGAAATTAGACAATGAGATTACATCGGTACCTACACGATGTAACATACCTAATAATAATGCGATTTCTTAGATATCTTAATGAATTAATGTTGATATAAACATAGATATATATATATATGTTTAAATGTAATATTTTTTATTAAAACTTGTTTCGATATTGATAAGCATCATTAGGCATGATTTTGTCATTACGAATTTTACAACAAAGTGTTTGGTAACTATAATTAGGTATAGGTTTTTTTTTATAATGGATGATAATGGATTGGTAACCCCGCTTGCGCTAACGGTATACGCTGGCGGGACACCAGTGAGGGATGATAGGTGAGAAAGAAAATTCAGGTTAGCTGATTCGGGATGTGCTAATATTCCGGCACATCCCCCGAGTGATAGGGTGAGCACGCCATCCACCCTATCTTGAGAGAGGAGACCTGCTCTTACCATCTGGGGGCGGGTCGCTGCCGTCGGAGATGTGGCGAGTACGAAAGCGAACCCATGTCTCCGACATATGGCACCTTGAGGGTATATCGTCTGGTTATCGGTGGGTACACGTCCACCTTACGGGGGGATTCCCAGAGTACCCTTTCACCCCCCACGAGGTGTACGGGTCTGCATAAAGCATTTTCCAGACGTTAAAAAAAAAGGTTAGCTGATCGTGTTACATGCATCTAGAATTTAGCACGATTGATTTCAGGGGGGAACGACGTGGAAGTCAACCTAACAAGGTATATTGCTAGCAATGAAACGGGTAATCCGCATTACTAACAATCCCTTCCCCCCAGGTGTAGATACTAGAATGACCTGTATAATTTTTAATGTATAATGACGCATTTTATTTATAATTTTAAATTATAATTATTTATTTTAACTTCTGTTTAGCACTACTACTGCCCACTCACTACTTCCTATGCCACTGCGTTAGGTTGACTGGAAAAAATCTCTTTTAGAGATAAGTTCGCCTTTGCTAACATTGTTATTGACTTCTTGTTGTTACTGTATGTTTTAGTGCAATAAAGAATATATATATAATGAAAAGCTACTTTGTCATTGTTTTACACTAGCGGGTTACCAGTTACAATAGGCTGGGATGTCATATGGGTCATCGTAATAAATTCACCACGAAATAACCATGACGTTGTCGATGGTATTTTGTTAATATGTATAACTACATACATAGATTTCGGTTTATTATTAGCTGAAAAGGCGTGATGCGCTTGCGCCTAGTAAAAAGTTATGATGCAGAGGTCACTAATGTACCTTTGATGGAGCAAAATGTAAAGGCGTTTAGTTATTAAGAAATTCCTATATGATGTGTTCGAAAATCTTTAACAATATACCTACGGATATAAAGGAACTTCCATTAAATAAATTTAAAATTGTGTTACGTAAATGGTTACTTAGCAAAAGTTTTTACTCTGTTAACGAATTTTTCAAGAAAGAATAGATAAATATCTAATATAGTTGTCGATGCATAAATTAAATTAATCAATTCCTGTCAAAATGTGACATTTGCATGCTATTCTGTAATGGCTAAATAGGCACGAAACTTTATGTAATGTAAGACCACCGATACCTACCCTATTTAAAGCAAATAAATTTATTATTATTATTATTATTATTATTACCAGCTGTGGGATTAAAGAGGTTATTAATGAAAAACACATATCTGTATAGTTTTTTCATAAAAAAAAAATCAGATAGTCGAAACAAACAAACAAACAAACGTGGAAACTAATGGCAATACCCTTTTTATATTAGGAAGACCTACTATATTCTGTAGTGGACAGTGAACGGGTGATGTGATGATGATGATGATAAACTCCATCACTTTATAAAACAACTTGATTGACGAACAAAGATAGGAACATAAAACCTTAATAAACAACAATTTTTACATTTTGTAAATTGGTAAAATAAAAAGACTCAAATGGAGATGGGCAGGGCACATGATCAGAGGAGATGACAAGTGGAGTAAGAAAGTGACAAGATGGTATCCCAGGGAAGGCAAAACAAAAAGAGGCAGACCCTGCATAAGATGGGACGATGACATTAGGGAAGTGGCTGGAAAAATGTGGGACAGAGTGGCTTAGGATAGGCGAGAGTGGAAACGGTTGGAGGAGGCCTTTGCCAAGTGGCAAACAGATCTTCAAAAAATAAGCAAGAAACAATTATTAGAATAAGTTATTTTAAATTTCTTTTTTTTTTAATTTTATACTATTTTATAATACTCAGCAATGTTTATGATATATGTCAACTTTTATAATTTAATTGAGTTCTTTATTAGTTAAAAACAAGCAGACAAACGAACATTTTGTTATATATATATTTATAACATGGCGCTTGGTCACGGGACTCATTCGCAAGATGCGCGCGCAGGTCGCGCAGGCGCTGTGTGATTGTTGGCTGCGCGCGCATGCCGCGCACGGGCCAGCGACTAGAGTGT